TGTATCGGCCATCATGGGTGACCGGTATCGGTATCGGCAGGAAAAAACCTGATCGGCACATCTCTACTAGAAACCCATCTATTAACATTTTAGTGTCCCAAACACACATATGTGGCCGTTTCTTATTATTACTTTGCTTTATTAATTAGCTCTTTCTTCCACTTTTTGACATTGGGCAGAATGTAATGTCATGTTCATGTCTGATTTACATTATACTGCTGCATGAGAGAATCATCTGAAAATCCCTTGTGATTCTTTTGTCCCTATTTTCAGGGGTGTAACAAAGAGGGGAATATACAAATATGCAGCTAATTACTCCTTTCGTCTTGGCCTGTCACTTTATTTTTAATAATTACACACAGAAACTCGTTATTTTGCAGGATTTCTGTGGATGACAATCCTGTGATGCACCTACATGGCCAGCGGATCCCGCTCCAGCCTGCCGGTAGCGGCGCAGCTCCTCCTCCAAGCGCAGCGTGTGGTTCCTAAGATCGTTCTTTTCCTCGGTCAGACGGCTCACGAACCCGGTCAGCTCGGCGTTCTGCCTCAGCAGCCGCTCCGTCAGGCTGTTGGAGGAGCTGGACGAGCCTCCTGCCAGCAGGGAAACACTCTAAGGGAGACAGATGATGAGCTGTCACAACCGAGATCCACAGATGCTGTTTGGAAAACACCAGCAGCTGACTGCCGCTCGTCCGCCATCACATATGCTCAGTCTTCCGATTTTTTATTAATGGAGTTACAATAAGCAGAAGATGAAATGAAGATAACTGACCTCTGGGATGAAGGGCAACCCTGGGGATTGCTGCAGCAGGCCGATGACCTCATCAACACTGGACTGAATCCATGACAGCTCCTCGCCGTCAACCTCCGCAGTCGACCTGCAAAGATCCAACCTTTAATTTGAAGTGTGAGGAAAAAAATCCCACATTCAGCAGTCATTAATTTTTTATTATAGTTCCTTTTTCACCTTTTTCAATAATCTGACCAGGGTGTCTATAAACTTTTGATAGTAAACGTTAATATGTCATTGACATGAACCACTTTTTTCCCCACCAGTACTCACAATGGCACGAGAATGTTGCCATGACAACAAGGGAGATTTACTTTATCTTCACAAAGGCTACAAGAAAATACCCATTTGCTCAAATTTGGCCTTTATTTAAGTTTAAAACGACTGGAACTGAACTGGACGAGGATACTGGTTAGTTTCACCACCACAAAGGACGATCACAAAAATCTAACAAAAAAAATCCTACACTGCTTAGGATCGTCACTACTGTACAGGAAACATTAAAAGGGATATTTAAATTTGGGATTGTACTGCTTCGGTCCATGTGCTCAAAAAAAAAACAACAACACCCAGCTGTTTTCTGGTGTCTGGAAAATTAGCTATTTCAAAAAAACCTCCAGATAGTTAAGTCACATTCCACGGGCACTGCATCGTTACTTAGCAACCCCAGCCCGTTACCTAGCAACCCAAGTGGAACTCCTGCACGCTTGGTCAGTTGGTTTTACCACTGTATTCACCGTTCTATGGCTGCTGGAAAAGACAAGTGTCCAGACACCACTTGCTGCATCGTTGTTGTTTGTGCAGGAGGCTCTACTTTTGCTTTTCAAAGATGTGAGGTTGGATAATTTCAAATCCGTTTCCCCATCTGTCTTTTTATGTGCGAGTGTAAACTTTGAGTTGGGGGGCGTGGCCAGCAGCAGATTATGTGGATTTAAAGTGACAAGACGCCCCATAAGAGCTCCAAATAGGTGGCAGAACTGAGTAGACTAAAATGTAATTATTTAAGAATGATTTTGTGTAGAAACTGTGATGAACATTTTTCTGTTTGGCCCACAGACCTAACCTGTTCAAGGAACCATAATAGGTCAAGTTTAATGTAAGGAACTGATTACCTGTCCGCCGTCTTGCTGGCCATGCTGCGGATCTTTGAGGAAACGAGGTGGAGCTTCCCGACGACCCTGTCGACCGTACGCCACGGGCCGTGGTGCGGCCCGCCTGGGGGGTCGGCCGGGAAACCCTCCGTGTGAGGCGACGCGTTGGCGCTTGCTGACTGAGCATTCCCGCTCTTCTGCTGGAGAACCCAGTCTTTGGTCCGGTCGGTGGGCTCGCCGTGCCAGACGGCCTGCGGAGCTCCACTCTCCTCCAGCCTCTCCTTCTCTTCCTCCAGGCTCTTCCTCTTCTGCTGCTCCTCCTCCAGCTGCTGTTTGACCTCTGACATTCGTACCTTCAGCCGGTCCAGTTCGGCTCGGGCCTCCTGGAGCCCGTCCTGGTCTTGTCTGGACTTCTGATTGGCCAGTGTTAGTTCCTCCTCTTTCTGTACCACTTCGAGCCGCTGGGCCTCCACCTGACTGAGGAGATGGACGACCTGGAGAGGAAACAAACAAAAAAAAAATAAATACAGATGACTTTATCCAGTAAAACAATAAAAAAAAAAAAGGCAATTAAAATCGCTTACAAATCGGCCTGTCACAATTAATTTGGCTGAACTATAAATTGTCCCAGAAGTTATAAACAATAATAGACCATTTTCAAGTTCAATTAAAGGTATAATACAAGAACACATCCTCAAGGATCAATAAACTTTAAACGCTAATAAATATTTAAGACTGGTTCTGGGAGACATTTTAAAAAGTCCAAAATAAATAAATAAAACAAAATCATCAATTTTTTTGTAGAAAAAGAGAAGAGAAAAAAATTTATAAATCATGCAAATGAAAATTATTATTCATATGATTTATTTATTGCTTATTGCGACAGGCATACTTTAGGCATACCAAAACCATTTAGAAAATTGATCATAAAGATCTCTAAACAAATATCAATAATCAGAATGGAAACTATTTTAATTCATCGTGTGATTAATAGATTAATTTAATCTCACCTGTGTGTGTTTGTCATCCAGCTCCCTCTGCAGTTTTTCCAGCAGACTTTCTTCTCCACTTTCCCTCCCATCATGGCCGCCGCCCTCCACACCGGATAGCCCGCTGGCCCGCAGCTCCCTCTCTCTCCCCAACGCGGCGCTCATCTCCTGGGCTTTCGCCCGCTCCGTCTCCAGCTGGACCTGGAGCTCCTGCAGGCGCCTCTGCAGGCCGAGGCCGACTTGCTCGGCCTGCTGGGAAGTCTGTGACGACGCCTGCCGCTCCTGCTGCAGCGTCTGCGTGAGTCGGTCCGCCAGCGCCTTCTGCTCGTCCAGAGCCAGCTGCAGGTCCTGGAGGAAACCAGAACTTTCCTAAAAACGACTGTTTTACAATAAAACAAGCCGTCAGGCGCAGAGTGAAGACGCTCTGATGTTTCACCTCCAGCTCCTCTCGTTTGGTGTCCTCGTCTCGACCGGAGCGGCACCGCTCCTTCTCCGCCGCCCACTGAAGGTCTCTGCTCCGCTTCCTCTCCTCCATCAGCTCGTCATTCAGGGCGTCCAGCTCTGCAGCTTTCTGAGAGACCTCCACCCTGTCGACACGATAAATGAAAATCTGAGGGGTTTTATGACTAAAATGTTATTTTTTAAACAGTAAATCCTGGAGGACTTCATGTTATTTCCACTAACATAACAAAGACATTTTAACAGATTTTTTTCTTCAAACATTAGCAGTTTTATTTGTAACTCCACCATGAAAATAAGACTTATTTCAACTTTTAACTCGAGTTGTTCTTTATCTCCAATTAGTTTTAATCATTTCTTATAATTTTCATAACAGTGGTGGATCAATTTGTTCTTTATTCACTGTTTGTATTTATTGACAAAATCTGTTCAGTAAAGTCATTTTATCCTTGCTATGCAGAGCCTTTGTTTTTAGCTAAACAAATTTATCATGAAAAACAGCCGTTTGGTGCATTTACAGAAATGTTAATTATCCTGCATCGTCCAAGCCAAATAGATGATTCCTTTTTATATTTTAAAGAATGACTTGGATTTCACATTTTAAAGGTTATATTGTTTATTTGTTTAACTAAGAACTTTGGATTGGTGTAAATCTTCAATTCTGAATTTCTTCCCTTGTTTTATGTCTCTGAACTGCAGAAATAAAACATCTACACCAAACTGAAGAGAGAACGTTGCAGTTTAATGCACGACTAATATAATTAGGACGACACTTTCTGAACGTTTTAGGCATGAACCAGGCGTTTAAGTCGTGAAATGTTGAATTTCTGGAGAAATATTTACTGAACCAACTCCAGAGAATGATTTATAATCTGATAAAAGATGATTACAACCTTCCTATTAATATTTATAACCATCGAAAAAGGTATTTAGCATTTGCAACGTCAAATAAAATACACAAATCCAAGTTAGTTTTTTCTTCTTCTTCCTTGAAGTTTAGATAATTTTGGCTTGCAAAAACAACACATTGAATTAAAATAAACACGAATCATGTCAAAAAGTGATTTCTTCTGGGTGTCTGACCTCAGTGTGTCCAGCTCCTTCAGGTGTTTCTGTTGGGCCTTCAGCGTCGTCTCCAGCTCCAGTTTAGTCTGAGAAAGTTCTGCTTTCATTTCCTCTAAGATCGACCCGTCTGCCTCTGCTGCTCCGTCGGCTGATCTTCCTCTCCGCTCCTCCATGGTTCCACCAGCAGTTAAAGACAAACCAGGCTGTGCACCTAAACAATAAAACAAATATTTACACAAATAGGGTGAGGTTAAGATGAAAAATGCTGATATTTTTTAAAACAACTAAAATGTGAAGTGGACCTAACCCCTGTTAAAATGCAAGGTTTTTGTGACATAAAGCAACAATAACAGATCATTTTGAAACATTTCCCACCTGTAACGTGGATAAAATGTGAAAAAAAAAAAGAGTACACCTTTAAATTGATACCTTGTGAAAGCATCTATTGATTCAGTTTCAGCGTTCAGTCTGCCAACAATTACAGTGAATCCGATATATTTTAATTAAAAATCAAACGATCCACAAGGATTTTAATGACGCGTCGCTGGTGTCAAGTCGGTCCAGCTGGCTGTAGAGGGCGCTCTTCAACTAAACCCAGGGATGTTTGGATTAAAACATCAACAAAACTGGACATTGAAATCCAAGATGGAAACTGTTGATCGTATGAAGATGCTGACAGCGTCGTCAGAAAAAAAATAAAATCACCAGAATCTCCTTTAAATTCTCTCTATGTGTCTGGAGTGACTTTTCTTCTAAAGAAACATCCAGATCTAGATGAAATTATCTAGAAACTTGCAGGAGAATGTGTTATGATGTGAACTGGACATTTGGGGGAAAACCAGAAGGGATGTTTATCAAAAAACTCCCCACTGTGCATCATCGATGGGACACAGTGTTGGCTGCATCATGCTGTGGGGTTATTTTTCTTCTGATGGAAGCAGAGTTTTTATCAAAGTGTGTGAAATTACACTGTTGCAGTAAAGAACTGGAGAACTTTACTGACTTTTTAAACCCTGAAACTGAATCAAAAGTTGCTCAAACAAAGCATTAATCTAAGATCTTCTTCACTGGTTTGCTTTTCAGCTGACTTGAACAGGATTTATTTTTTTATGTCACAACCAGCTGCAAAGCTACAAAGATGTTTATTGTCTGATTTACTTTGATGGAGTTGCTCCAGTTGACCCCGGAGCTGCTGGACCTCAGAGAGGAGACTGGACCTTTCTGCAGCCTGGAGCGAACCCATGGCCTCCCTGTGGTGAGCGTCCTGCGTCAGGACGACACAGCCAAGGTAATAACCGGCTCAAACGTCAACAAGCGGCACAAAGTACAGCTCTGATTATAAGTTCATAAAATACATTCATTCTCCTTTGCACAGGTTGTAACTTTTAAAAACTGTGGAACAATCTAATAATCTCTGTTGTTTCACACCTGCTCAGCCAGCAGGCGCTCCAGCTGATTGAGGTGAACGATGGCGTCGCTGGTGTCAAGTCGGTCCAGCTGGCTGTAGAGGGCGCTCTTTAGCACGCTTCTCTCCCTCATGAACACCTGTCGCACTGCGTCCAGCAGCTGTGCGCGCCAGTCAGCGATGCCACACGACGTCTGCAGGACGACACACGAGATCAATGTAATTTCAAATTAAAAGCCAGGAATAAATGTTACTGCAACTCATATTAATTCTAAATTGTTCAAAGAGTTGTTGTAGATGCGATGGCAGGAAAGATCTGCTGTAGCAGTCTGTATTACAGCATATTTGAAGAAGCCTCTGACTAAAGACACTGTTTTTCCAAGATATAAACACCAATTTCACGTTATTTTTACATCATTTCCCACACATATCAAGATCCAACAGAAGAAAACATCCTCTTTTGTTTTTCTTCATTTTAACTGTGAAATTGCACCATTAGGATGTTTGTGCAATGGTGTAAATAAACTGGAGGATTTTAATGACTTTTTAAGCCTTGAAACCGAATCGAAAGTTGTTTAAACAAAGTATTAATATGAGATCTACGGGTGTGTACACTTCTTTAGCCTAAAACCTAAAAAAAGACACAATGTTTTAAAAATGTCAACACATGTGTGATATTGATAAAAAACTTAGTTTTGCTTTTTTGAAAAGGTCAGGCTCTAAACTCATATTTATCTGGACAAAAGGTGAAAACGACTTTCTGGGTTGTAAAGGTTGCAAGATTCTGGTCTAAATTATGAATGCATGGGTGTATTTTTTGTCGTTTATTGTTTGAAAACGTTTAGTTGTTTATTTACAGATCAATCTGATGAAATGTAAGTGAAGAAACGCCGTCTTAACACAAGTTTCACCATTTGTATTAATTAGCTTTTAAACCAACTATGTGATCCTCAAATATAAAATTTCTTTTTTAAAAAGGGTTGGACAGATTAAGAAAATATGAATGCAAACTTTTACTTTTTTTTTTTTTTTTTAGTCAATCCTCTTCCTGTAAACGGCAGCCTCTGATTGGCTGAGCCTTGTCAAACTGCTGTCATGTTGCGTTCTGATGCTTCCTGTACCTGTGATTGGCTGAGCGTCTGCATCTGGGTGATGAGGCCTTTGAGCGACTGGACCGTCGCCAGCAGGGCGTCTCTCTCCTTCGCCCAGCCGTCCGTGCTGAACTGGCCGCCCGGCTCGCCTTCGGGCAGCGGCAGCTCGGACAGGGACAGAACCTGCATCCCTTCCTGGTGAACCTCACGCAGCAACGTCTGCATGCCACAAAACCCCATACAGAAGAAAACTTACTTTACATGAAACTCTACGGAGGAGTATTAGGGCCAAACTAACAGATTAAAGTGATAAAGATGCAGAAGAAGAAAATTACAAGAAAGGAAGTTGTTTTGTGAAGTGAGCAACTCGTCAAATCTGTGATTTGTTTCTTCATAATTGAGTCATGTCTGATCGTTTGCACCATCGTTTAAAAATCCTGCTGCGGATAATAATTTCATGCTGATGTGTTAAAAGATGAAGTATTTCCTTATTTGTAATTCATGGAGAAATTTTCAGAAAATTACTAATTCATCCTCCTAATATTTATTTATCTTATAAAAGTAAAAATAATAAGACAATCATTTGACATGCAACTTTTCTGGCATCACAATTTGTCTTGTTTTGTTGTGCTTTTACTTTTACTTTGTGACCTGATTCTCGCATTATTCAACTTTTATTCCTGTTTTTTTTTCTTTGACTCGCCCTAATAATTCATCGTACAGCACAATCAAAGCAATTTATCTACCAGCCACCCACATCTGAAGGAAGATTTTACCTTGATCCGGTCGGGAAGAGGATCGTCCGTTTCTCTCCTGGCGCCTTCTGGAGTCGACCTGAACTCCTGCTGTAAACTCGGGACGTCGAATCCAGTCCTCTGGCTGTAGTCCGAGCTGCTGTCTGCGAGACAGAAAAACAAGCATCCTCAAGATTTAATAACATCTCCACTGATCAGTAAATCTGGGAATCTAAAATGAGCTAAATTAAAGGATAAGGAAGAGCAGCAGCAGGAAACTAATGGTGGTTTATGTGAGATTCTCACCACTGGTGTAGCCGTCTTTAAACTGGGAAGCAGGACGGTCTGGTCTTAATGGAGGCGCCTGCAAAGAACAAGAGCAGGTTAAACACAACTGCATTAGCAGAAATATCTCCTAAAGCCATTTTTATTCATTCTTATTTAAAAAAAAATAATTTTTTAATTAAAATTTAATTTTACATTTTTCCAAGAAGATTGTATATTTTTTATTATTTATAAAAAAAGATTACATTTTCTCTTAAAAATATTCCAATTTTAATTTTTTTTAAATTTTTTGTATGTTTTCTAAAAAAAAAAAAAAAAAAAAAATTACAAATGACAGAAAATATTTTCAAATATTCCAAAATACTTTAGGGGCTTTTATCCTTTCTGTGATTAGTCCGAGCTGCCAGAGGTTTTGTTTAGTTAGGAAGATATATTCAAATCAAATTTAAAGCGAATTAAACATACAGTTTTACCAGAAAAACATCTTAAAATTATGAGAAAAGCTTCTAGTATTTTGGAGATCTGATGAGAATCTGTGTGGTTCTTTGTTTGCTTAATATGCTAAATATCTGGCTTGAACCATAAACACTTTACAAATTAAGGTTTTTAATCAAATGTTAGTCTGCACTCTTAAACTGTGCTGTTTGCAGAAATATACAGGACTTTATACAAAAATCAAGCACTTTAAAAACCTTGAAAACACCCAAATTGAAAATCAAGCCTTTTTAAGGACTTCTGTCACTCTTACAGGTTAAAAAGTGATAAAATACGAAGCTCAGAGGTTGTGAACAGAGTGAACTGCTTCCTGTTTCTCAGACTCACCTCAGTGGAGCAGAGTTTGTCGATGACGGCCTTCAGACTTTTGCACTCGTCCTCCAGAGCTTGCGTGTCTCTGCGCAGGTTCTCGCTCTCTGAGATGTGGCGCGCCTCCATGTCCAGGATCTCCGCCGCGTGCAGCTCCTGCATCTGGGCGATCTTATCCTGAAACTCCCCGATCACCTCCTCGATCTGCTCCTTGGCGGCGGTCTGGCTCAGGTCGCTCATCTGGAGGGGTTCGGTTTGCGTGAAGGAGTCCGTCGTGGCGTCGCGGTGCTGATCCGAGCCGCTGTTCGGCTGCGGGCTCGGAGTCTTGTCCGGGGCGGAGTTTTTCCGGGAAAGCGACGGCTTCTCCTTGGCGCTGCCCCCCTTTGCGGCCGGCTGCCTGGCGCCTTTCCGTTTGGGCTGAGCGGTGGATGTTGAGGAGGCAGAGAACGGCGGCTGAGGAGACGGAGGAACAGATTCTGATGCCCTCATTAGCGCCTCCTGCAGCTCCGCTTTAAGCTTTGAAATCTCTTCCAGGAGTTCCTCATTGTGCTGCCTGGAGCATCTGAGCTCCTCGTTGGTGGCGTCCATATTGCTTCTCATCTCCTGCAGCTCCTCTCTGACCTTCGACAGAGATTCTTCACGACCCTGAATCTCCTCCTCCTTCTCATTATGATATTTAGTCGTCTCTTCTTTGGTGGCGTCTGCGCTCCTCCTCGCCTCCTGCAGCTCCTCAGAAACAGAGGCTTCACAAACTCGGACCTCTTGATGAAGTTGCTCGTTATTCTGCTCTCCTTCGGAGGCGACTGCAGTCGTCATCTTCTGCTGCTCCTCTTTGAGCTCAGAGATACGGATCTCACGGATCCGGGCTTCTTCTTGAAGTTCCTCGTTTTGCTGCTGATATTTAGTCAGTTCTTGTTTGGTGGCGTCTGCATTCCTCCTCATTTCCTCCAGCTCCTGTTTGAGCTCAGAAAGCAAAACCTCACGACCTTGGATCTCGTCTTGAAGCTTCTCATGTTGCTGCTGATATTTAGTCAGCTCTTCCTCTGTGGTGTCCATTTTGCTTCTCATTTCCTGCAGCTCCTCACTGAGTTTAGAAAAGGAGATTTTGTGAGTTTGAATCTCCTCTTGAAGCTTCTCGTTTTGCTGCTGATATTTAGTCAGTTCTTCTTTGGTGGCGTCTGGTAACTCTCCAGAAGCAGAGACTTCATGAGGTTCCTCGTTACTTTGCTCTCCTTTGGATTCAGTCCTTCTCATTTCCTGCAGCTCTTGTTTGAGCTCAGACAGAGAGACTTCACGAACTCTGACTTCTTCAAGAAGTTCCTCGTTACGTTGCTGATATTTAGCTAGTTCTTGAGTGGAGGCGTCTGCACTCTTCCTCATCTGCTGCAGCTCCTCTTTGAGCTCAGAAAGCAAAACCTCACGACCTTGAATCTCCTCTTGAAGCTTTTCATTTTGCTGCTGATATTTAGCCAGCTCTTCTTTGGTGGCATCTGCACCCCTCATGTCACGGACTCCGACTTCTTGATGGTCTTCCTTGTCATGTTGCTCTTCTTCGGCGGCAACCGCAGTCCTCCTCATCTCCTGCAGCTCTGCTTTAAGTCTTGAAATTTCTTCCAGGAGTTCCTCGTTTTGCCGCCTGTAGCCTCTGAGCTCGTCGTTGGAGGCGTCGACGCTGCTGCTCATCTCCTGCAGCTCCTGGGAGAGCGAGGCTTCTTGAACTCGGCGAAGTTCCTCGTTACGCTGCTGATGTTTACTCGGCTCTTCTTTGGTGGAAACAGAAACTTCACAAACTTTCTCTTCTTTCCTCGCCTCCTGCAGCTCCTGTTTGAGCTCAGAAAGCAAAACCTCACGACCTTGGATCTCGTCTTGAAGCTTCTCATGTTGCTGCTGATATTTCGTCAGCTCTTCTTTGGTGGCGCTCATTCTGCTTCTCGCCTCCTGCAGCTCCTCGTTGAGCTTAGAAAGGGAGACTTTGTGAGTTTGAATGTCCTCCTGAAGTTTCGCTTGACGCTCCAGAGAGACGCTCAGTTCTTCTTTGGTGGAAGCTGCTTCTCTTTTGGCCTCCTGGAGTTCATGGAGGAGATCCGTCATGTCCGCTCCGTCCTCTGAGGCTTTTACCTGAAGACACCAAATATTCTAAATTAAGTCATAGATCATGAATTCAGAGCAAGAATTAAACAAAAGCGAGAGAAACTCACCTGGAAAAGTTCTCCTTTAAGGTGAGCGATGGTCATTTCCCGCTCCTGGAGTTTAAAATCAAACAGGAGAAATGTGTGAACTTCAAGTTCCAGCTAAGGCTGAAACAATTCATCAGATTAATCAAATACTGAAATAATCATCAAATAATTGATTAAGCAGACTCAAAAAAGGGCATTTGTTTAAAAAACAACATATATTCAGAGTATAAACTGTACAAAAAGTATATAAATAAGTTTTAGCTAAAATTCCTAAAGTTTTAGCTTCAACCAGTTCAGACTTACTAGATTTAAAAAATGAAATTTAGTTATTCCTTTATTTATTTCTAATATTACATAAAATATTAGAATCTTTAGAACGTGTATTTTTTTTACATGACTAATTGATTGTCAGAATAATCAATGGAACGACTAAAATATTTGTTAGTTGCCATTGTAATTCCAACTGATAAGTTCATCCAGGATATTTAGTTCTTTTTTTTGTTTCAGATCTATTCGTAGTTTAGTTTTAGTCTTTAAGTGACCATTTGTGATCTTTGAATAATTTAATCAGTTCTTGTAAATTGTTGCCATTTTTGTTTTCAAAATGCTGGTTAAAAGTTCTCTGTAGCCCAAAATGGAGTCATTTTTCTGTCAGTGACTCAAAAACAAAAATATTTGTGGTTAGAATTTTGTACTTACCTTGTGATTTGGCAAATAAATAAAAATGAGACGTAATTATACCAGAAGTTTTGGTGTAAAGTACCTTTTTAAAAAAGAAGAAGAAATTCTAGTTTTTATTATTTTACAAAAATGAATTAGCAATTCCCAATCCTGGAAACTGAAATAAACTCCGTTTTTTTATTTCCTCTCGTAATCAATAGTTCTGATAAGCAATTAGGTGTTCTCATCAAAATTTTAAATATGAAATTATTTTAACAATAATAAAATGATGTACAAACAGTGGCATACATGTATTTGTTGGGGGAGTATGTCCTTTTCTCAGGACTTGTTTTTATAGTGACTCAATTAAATTAATAAAGAGCAGATATTTGTTTGATCTATACATTGAAAGTTGTTTGTTTATCTGAGTTATTTGTATTAAGTGTGAATGTGTGAGCTTTGAAGCTGCTTTTAAAGTCAATTTGTTATCTTGAAACAAAGCCAATTTTCCACCTTATCTGCTGTAAAGCTGATCGATCAATCCATCTCCAGATAACCAGAATACAGGAAACTGATCTCATTACTGAACTTTAAACATGTAAAAAGCCTCATCTAACTGTTTATATTCTAAAAACTGTCATAATTTCGTCTGCTGCTCCTGCTCACCTGCAGCAGCTCCTGCAGTTTGTCCAGACTCTCCCTGCAGCTGCTCAGCTGCTCTTTGGCTGCCGCCGCCTCAGTCTGAGCCTCAGCCAGTCTCTCTTCAAGCTCAGACGTCTTCGTCTCTTCGCCTGCAGCTGCTGACGTCTGCAGAGAAAACATCAAACTTTACGCCTTCTGTTCAGACGAATGTAAACTGGGAGGAATCCAGTTGGACTTCTTACCGTGTCCAGTTGGTCCTGGAGTCTCTGTACAGTCGCAGTTTTCTCCTGGAAATAAAAGTTCAGGTTTGTGACTGTAATAAACGACCAACAGTGGGAGGATAGTTGGCCTGAAGTAGACGACCAAGAAATTATTTGAGTAAAAAAGTAAAAGGTCGACTCAAGTACTGAGCAACTAATCAAATAATTAATCACTTAATATTTAAAAATTACAACATCAGACGGATCAAAATATAACGTAAGGTGGAAATTTTGGTAATTTAAAGACGAAAAATGACAATAATTCTTTTAAGTAAAATAATAAAATCAGGGAAAATATTTCTTCTTTCAAATCAGTTTCTTTCAAAAAAAACAACAAAAAAACTCATGAAATTATAAGGAAAACCTCAGGTGAGTGTCTGCGTCTAGGCCAGCAAAGTTGGCTGGACGGTAAATTGTGATAAACGATAATATTGTTGTTTTTAGAGCATTTTCAAGTAAAATAATGGTAATAATGGCATAATAGTGCAAGAAAACATTCTCAGAGAACAATAGACTTTAACACTGGAACTCAAAGACAAAACGACAAATAAAGTAAATTACAAAGTTTCTGTAAACAAAACTGTCTTTCAAAGCAGACTGAAGACTTTTGTCATCCAGAGAAAAACAATAAATCATATAAATGTAAATGACTGAGTTTGTTTTAATTAAGTGATGCGTTGCGACAGGCCTGGATGGTGTCGGCTGCAGGACGTACGTGGAGCTCCTGTCTGAGTCTGCTGCAGTCGTCCTGCAGGCTCTGCAGCTGCTCCTCGGTGGCGGACGCCTCGTCTCGGACCTCCTGCAGCTCCTGAAGGAGCGACGACACACCCGGCTGCTCGGGGGAGGAGGCCTGAGGAGGCGGCCACTTTTATCAGAGATAAACAAATTGTTACAGGCCGACATGTTTAAATCCACAGATTTGGAGCTCAGAGGAAACATCAGGCTGATGTAATTTAGGCAGAATACCGAAGAGTGAAACAGTATTTGGTAAAAAGTCTCCTCAAGTACAGAGTAACTAATCAAATCAGAAGGACCAAAATATAAAGTTAAGAAGAAGTTTTGTTTTTTAAAGGACGAAAATGACAATTCAAACAAGTATCAAAAATCAGGCAAAATAAAATGTTTTTAAATCAGTTTCTTTCAATAAAAAGCTTATAAAACGACTACATTGTTGTTTTGAGACCATTTTCATCAACATAACGGTAACAATGGCGTAATAATAGAAGATTCTGAAGATCAATAAACTTTAAATTCTAACGAACATTTAACACAGGAACTGGAAGACATTTTAAATATTCAAAATAATTAAATGAAACAAGAGAAACAAGAAATAAAATGTAGCCATTAGCCTTCACAATGCCCAACTCTAAGTAACTTAAATCTAATTTCCTCTGCAGTTATTTATAGATTATTTTTAGATTAACATATCTGCATCTGAACGTTTGTTACTTATCAACTGATTTAGTCGAAATACTTTATTATAAAAATAAAAATACTCCTAAAGTACGTCTTTTTAAAAAAGCTACTCAAGTAAATGTCAGTTGAGTTGGTTCCTGCTGAACTCTCGGGTTCCTCACCTCGTTAGACGGCGGCGCTGCTCTCTGTTGCGGTCCGGCCTTCATCTGACTGAGCAGCTCCATCAGAACCGCCAGCCTCCTCTCGTACTCCTGCACCTCCTCTTCGGAGCTGGAGAGCAGCTGCTTCTGCAGCTCCTGGTCCTCCTGCATCCCGCTCAGTCCGACCTCCAGGTCCCGAAGCTTCTGCGTCAGCTGAGCCACCTTCCCTCTTGGCGCCTGCCTGGCCGGACCCAGGCTGCTGAAATCCATCTGCAGGATGCCGAAGTCGCCAAACTCGTAGGCTGCAGCTGCGGGGCGGCTGTGTGCTTCTCGTTTGGATGCTTCAGTCCTCTGCTGCTGCTGGAAGGCCTCCAGAGTGGCCTGGCTAACCAGAGCTTCGGCCATTTTCTCCCTCAGACTTCCCTCCAGAGCGGAAACCTTCTGCTGGAGATCGTCTGCATGGCTTTGAGTTTCCTCCATCAGAACCCGGCAGCGTTCCACCTCCGAGTCCTTCTCCTCAACCAGGGCCTCCAGCTCCCGGATTCGCAGCTCCAGCTCCTCCACTCTGGACGCGGCGCTCTGCTCCAGCGCCTGAACTTCAGCCTGCAGAACCACCAGACCTGCGGTTTTTTCTCTCAGAGCTTCTTCGAGTTCGCTTTCTGCGCCGCCCAGATTCTCCGTCTCAGCCGAGGCTTCTGCGCTCTGCTTCAGGCGCAGGTACATCTCCAGCAGCTCGCTGTGCTCTGCTCTCAGAGAGTCCAGCTCTTTGGTGGCCAGGTCCATCCTTTGCTTCATTTCATCAAACTCCTCTTTGGTTGCAACACGTCCTCCGCTCTCCAGCTCCTCCTCCGCCTCCGGCTGTTTTGGCTCGATGTTGGCCAGTTCCTGTTGGAGTTTCTCTATGACCGCGTTCAGCTGGTCCACCTCTTCTTCTCTGTCCGTCTTCAGACGGTCCTGCTCACTCCGCAGATACTCCACCTGGAACTCCAGCTCTTTAATCAGCTCATCCTTTGCATCCATTTCCTGGAAGAAGAAGAAACACAGATTAAAATCACAGCAGAGTGTTGAGACTTGATGAGACCATGAACGCCCCACAGCGTGATTAAACCTCTGAGTCAAATGTTGGTCCTCGCTGTTTTTATTTAAAACCTTTAGAGATGCAACTCCAATATTTTGATTTCATACTTGTGGTTGTTGACCTGCATATGCCGAGTTTATGTTGTACCTTTTAAGAACAATGTTACAATTATTAACCAACAAGACAAAATCAGGAACAAAAACAATACAGACTTCCTTGAGGAGAATCAGATTTTTTCTTCTTAAAGATATAAAGCTAGATGTGAAATATGTTTCAGGTTAATCATTTATACTGGGATCATTGGCAACGTCTGTCCACATGTGTAAAACAGGTTTCAGCACTGCGAGAACTCAAACTCTTACCAAGTATTTATGGTCTAATTTCTAGTGTAAATATCTTAGTACATTGGAAATAGGACAAAACTAGCTTATAGTAGCTTGTTTTAAGTCAATTTCTTAATATGAAATAAGTTCGAGTTCTACTGGCAGATTATTTCACTTGGACATAATCTGCCAATGGAACTAGTACTTTTTCTTCTAAATTTAGAAATTATTTACTTGGAACAAGCTACCATATCTTGCAGAAAATTTTATTTGTATTACTCAAAGTATGCCAAGATATTTGCAGTAGAAACTAGACCAAAATATTGGTAAAGATTTTGTGTCTTTACCTCCATTGTTTGACACTAAAATAGCAATAATTACAAAAATATAAGATGAAAACACCTTTGTCTGTAGAAATGTCAGGGTTTCCCACAGTGCATAATAAGCCTGGCGGGCCACCAGGCTTTACTTGTGCCCCCACCAGGCTTAGCATTGTTCAATTATTTTAGTTTTTATTAATTATAAGACTTTACAGTTGGTGTTTCGGTATTAATCTTCCAGTCTTCCAATAACACATGACATTTTCAAATTTCCTGTTAACTTTAAACATTTTTTAACTCAAAAACACGGCGGCCGGCAGGATAAATGACTGCTGTAGCGCCCAACCGCCAGGCTTAGCAAGTTTTCTGGGGAAGTCCTGCATGTTTTATCCAAAACTTCTTCACCCTGTTCAGATTTTCTAAAAAATTATATATTACTGCATCCTAGGCAATAAAATGTTTATTTTCTTATTATTTGTTTATTTGCATATTTTATACAATTTTTAAAATTGTATAAAAAAGGTTTAAGTGGCTGAATGAAAATTTGATGAATATGCCGTTTATCTTAGGCAATTAATCGTCAGATTACTAAAACAATCATTAGTTGCAGCCCTAAAGACTTGTTGGAATCAGTTCGCACATTAAGGACTCAGAGGTTTAATAAAAACCACCTCACATGAGCAAACCACCTCAAAACACAAGACATTACTACGGATCTACTCACCGAGACAAACAAGAAAACAAAACCCAAGAAAGTGAAATGAAGGGAGGCGTGGGGAGCAAAATAAAAACACACACAGATGCATTTCTACAGAGCAATGCGCATATGAAATAAGACTGGCTCTATTTTTCATGCGCATGTTTCGTTACCTTGTTGTCAAAGGCGGTTTCCATGTGTTGATGCTTAGAGATCTGTTCATTAAGAAGAGCTATTTCTCTGTCCCTCTCCTCCATCACCTTCAAGAGTCAGAGATTATAATGCAACGGCTATTAATGAACACATCATAGTTATTATCCACTCAAAGTCTTTCTGTGGGAACACTGGGAACCAGTCGTCTGAGAGTGGAAATGTCGCGCGATAAGCTTTGCAAAGCAAAATAACAGGGACAAAAAAGCTTAAAGATATGAAAAACAGAGTTAGAAAAGAAGGAGAAAGCTTCTTCTCATTTGTTGTACAAAGTAAAACAGTTTTAAATAAACAATAAAATAAAAAAATAATAATTTCAAGGCAAGTTTGACCAAGATGTTAAATTGGAAAACCAATTTCTGCTATTTCAATGTCGTACAGAGTTATAAAAGTTTATATTTATGTCAATCAGTCCCTCCAGAAAGTTAAGATCAAACCTTTGACTCTAAATTTGTTCACAAATTTTGCTCGGACTTGCAATTTTCACAAATAATCGCAACATTTCCACAAGTTTTACCTTTTAATTTAACTTCCTGTTCAGAATGTCTCTAAACAGAAGTAATTACTTTTTTCCCCGGATAGAACCGTTTTGAAATGTTCTGTAGTTTACAGCTCCTGTTAACTAAAAAAACTAATATCAAACTCTTCTTTTGCACTTTGACAATTTCACATTACCTGGTTCTACTTATATTAAGGTTACTTGAAAATTTCATTTGCACTTCAAACATTAACGATACAAAAAAAAAAGGGGATTTCAACAAAGGTTAAGAGAGCAATTTCAACTTTTCTGTAAAAAAAAAAGCTGAAAAAAGAGAAACCTTTTTGAAAAAAGTGGCACAAAATCTGTAATTCTAATCTGCAACAGTCAAAAGATTCCAACTTCCTGGAGAGACTGAGAGGTAAAATATTAGAGCTTTAAAAATGTCCAAAGTACATAATAAAATGTTTCATCAGCCTTTGTAGAGTTATATGGCTCATCTTCCTAAAGCACAAGTCTACAGGACTTCATCTACACCAATATATATTGATTTAAACCAATAGATTGGTTCAGATCAATGCACATTCATGTCAAAGTCCAGATTGAAAAAGCGGATATTCAGCCTCCAGCTTCACAACCTCATAAAATCGCAATAAAACTCGTTGAATTTTGTGGTTATATGATGATGCACCATGACAGAGTTGAAGGGTCTGAACACTTCTGCAGTGTGAATGTTTTTTACGTTTCTCACTGTGCTCACCTGGAGCAGGCTGTCCCTGACCTCCAGGAACTGCTGCTGGCTGCTCAGCTCCTTCCTCTGGATCTCCAGCTGCATGTGGAGCTGTTGCACCTCCTCGCTCTTGTTCTCCAGCTCCTCCCTGAACTGCTCCAGCTGCTCCTCCAGGTTGCAGATCTGAGGTGGCAGATCAAACAGGAAGTGAGCGCCAGAAGGAACATCAAAAGACGAACGCGGAGCTCATTATCGGGCCGGACCCTGAACTCGACCGTGAAAACGTATGAAGTGTGGCTGAATAAGGAGATAAAAGACTCAGAACTACAATGTGAAGCAGCTGTGGCCGTTGACCTTTGGGCAAAAGGTCAAGTTAGATTTCTAGGGTCTAATTCTCAGAGTTCTCAGTTGTTTATGAAGCCTTTTTTAAAAACATAAGTAGAAAAGTTCACAATGAATTTAGGGTGACATCATCGATGTTTGGGCTTTGAAGATGAAGAGAAGGAGAGAAAGACGGATGGATGGATGGATGGATGGATGGATGGATGATAGGAGAGAAAGATGGATGGATGAATGATAGAAGGAGAGAAAGATGGATGGATGGATGATAGGAGAGAGAGAAAGATGGATGGATGGATGGATGATAGGAGAGAGAGAAAGATGGATGGATGGATGGATGACAGAAGGAGAGAAAGATGGATGGATGGATGGATGGATGGATGGATGGATGGATGGATGGATGGATGGATGGATGGATGGATGGATGGATGGGTGGATGGGCATCCAGATGATGAAAATATGTCAGAGTGGCTAGCATATGTTCGTTTCTCTCCTGGATTTAAACTTCTGTCCGTTTCCTCCCTCACCTCTTTCTCTTTCCTCTCCAGAGCTTCTCTCTCCGTCTGAAGCTGAGCCTCCAGGCTGGAGTGTTTCGTCTCAGTGATGGATGCATGTTGCTTCTTTGAGTCAACCTGTGAAAGAAACGACGCGGCTCAACAGCTGTTTTCAGGTAGACTCGGCTACGTTGGGGACTGAAGATGCAACACGGGGTTCTTGTACAGCCAATCTCATCTACCTGGGCAAAGGTCTCAGCTTTCTCTTTCATAAGACAAGTTTGACTGACAGTTAATAGTCAACCCCACTGCTGCCAACTCAGCGACTTTTTTTTTTTACTATATTTATCATTGTTTCCAACAAAAAATTGGTTTCGGTCAAAATCGGAAAACTGCAATCAGTGCAACCCTACTCGCAACATGTTGCATTTTCAGCTCAAACAAACCAAACTCTTTGAAAAACATGTTCCCCTCCTCACCTGTGGAGGCGCTGCACTAAGAACTACTGAAGGAAACGACACAAAAACGTCAGAAGACGACAGCAGCGCAACTTTTTTTTTTCACAAAATGTAAACAAAAATGAAGTAGTGTCAGAATTTATTGGTTGTAGGATTTCTCTTTTGTCTGAAAAACCACGAGTCACTTCTGCACATGTTTGTTTTGTATTTACCCAGAATCCCCCGAGCCGTAGTCCACGTCCTGCTTTTTGAGCCAGGGCTTCCACCAGGCCTTTATAAGCCTGGCGGGCCACCAGGCTTGACTTGTGCCCCCACCAGGGTAAGAATAGTTTGTTTATTTGTTATAGGGGTTTTTTTTTATACACCAGTTTCTGTAACCACTGGGGTCTTTACTGGTCTACAAACTAAGAACATCAGCAAATAAAGTGACACCTTAACTAGGATGAAACGACTGAAACAACAGTTTTTTTGTTTGCCCTTTTTAAGACTTCACAGTTGGTGTTCAGGTATTGCTAATAATATCTTCCAATAAGACATAATTACCTCATCATATTTTCAAATTTCGTGTCAATTTTAGAAAATTAGTGCTCCCACCACCAGGCCTAGCAAGTTTTCTATGGGAAACCCTGTGAGCGGTTTCCGGTCCACTTGGAATCCACAAGCCAAACCGAGAGCGAGGCTTTTAGACGAAGCAGAGATTTTGTAGAGTTCAATTTCATACTCAAACGACCCAGAATTTCTAGACAAACGAACTGGAGTTTGATCAAAGCGGACTAAGCAGGGCTGGTGTGAATGCAGACTTAAGGTATGCACAGAAAAGCGTAAAAGAAAAACCTCCTGCAGCAACCGAACAACAGCAGGCTGGTTTCTGCACAATCCAACTAATTAATCATCTGTGCTGCTTTTAGGTTCACTCCTCCTCCCACAACCGTCAACAGACACTGGGGGGCAATCTTAACAACTGCTAGCCTCCAACTCGGCGACAGCAGCTGAAGTAGACCCACCCACACATTGTTCTCCCTCTCACACACACACCATTAGCATTCAGACTCAACCTTCATCTCCCTCGTCCCCTCCTCCTAACCTTCTCCAGGGACTCCGCGCTGGCCAGCAGGGCCTGCTCCAGCTCGCGGATGCGGCTCTCCAGCTTTTCAATCTCTTCGTCGCGCTCTCCCAACTCACGACGCAGCTGCTCAGAGCCGAGCAGCAGCTCACTGCAGCAATCTGCTTTCTCCTTCAGCTGGGCGCTTAGCTGCTCCACCTGGTGAGGAGGAGAGTGAGGGAGAGAGAGAGAGACGGAGTGAGGCGGCGACACAGAGGAGGAGGACCGTTTGATCAGATCCAAGTCGCTACGGCGTAGCCGATACATGTGCAGTTAGCGGGAAGGTCAGCTGATCCACCTGAGAAAGGAGGCGGTGGGGGTTGGTGTGAGAAAACGTGCAGGGATGGAGGCAGGGAGAGAGACGCGAAACCACAGAGAAGTTAAGAGAGCGACGGCGGGGAAACGATCCACCTGTGAAAGTAAAGACCGTCAACATAGAGGAGGAGAGGAGACGCAGAGTGGCTGATTTAAATCTAATGCAAGAGAAAAGTGTTTTATTAAAGCTGACTTACTTTTAGTGCTGTCGATTGCTTAAAATATTTAATAATAGATTTTATTTATAATGCCCTTTATATCTTTAGATCTCAAAGGGCAGGAAACAAAAGCAAAACAAGTAATTGTGATGTATAAAAATAAATAAATAAGAGATTAAAACCAATACCTAAGAAAATGAACCGAAGAGATTAATCACACTCTGCCGCTGTGATAACTCACCATGAATCACTGTGATTAACCTCGTAAGCGTGAAATGTAAAAATGCACATTTTCAAAAAAATGTTTTGTCTCAAACATCTCAGTTTTCCAGGTTTTCATATTCAAGAAGGTTTATAGAAAGTAATTTTATTTCAAATGCAATTTAGATTTGAAGAATAACTCATTGTAGGTAACTTGTCCATCACAATGTTTTTGGGAGTTTTTTTAAAGATTTTTCTGGGCACTAGTGGACGGTATTTGACAGGAAGGGTGCAGAGAGAAGAGGGAGGAAGACGAGCAGCAGAGGAACAAAGAGCCAGGCTCAAACTCGGTACATTGCATCGAGGTCTACAGCCTCTGTACGCGGGCCGCCCGCTCTGACCGCTGTGTTTTTAAAGTGAAATTTCCCCTGAGCTCATCTTCTCACTCGCGTTTGGACTCTTCATTCCTGGTACAAGATCAAGAAACGCGCTGCTTGGAACTAAGAAACCCTTCGCAAGAGGAAAGCTTTTAGGTCAAAATAAGTAACGCGATTAATTTGATTTATGTAATATTAATGCATTAAACGTTTTAGATTAATCACACGCTTCTCCTTCCTAGTGTAGAATTATGATGAGTGGCTCACATCAGTGACATAAAAGTCAGATAAAATGCAACATGACTGTTCCTGTTCAGACAGAAGACGTTTTAAAAATAATCTGATACAGATCCAATTTAGTACCACAAGCGGCACAAACCACAGGCCATTCAGACTGCCATAAAAAGTCACATATTCACAAAAAAATTAGATTAGAGTCACATTTGAGTACAGTCTCAAGGTAAAAGTTGTGACAGGATGGAGCTGGAATTGAACCCACAACTTTCTGATCACAAGTCAACTACAGATTTCATACTGTTGGCGAAACACTTGAAGCTGTAACTGCCGTTTGATTTGTGTCTCACATGAGGCTGAATTAAAAAAAAGCACAACGCACTTTTCAGATTTTTTTCATAATAATTAAAAAGAAATGTTAAAATATAAGCAGAATTTAAATAAGTTTAATCGTGTTTATTTTATTAAACGTCTGTATTACATTGCTTCTTTAAGTTATATTTCTACACAGTTTAATGCAGTAGTGACCTTAAATGGCCTTTACAGTCATTGATTGCATCTTCACACCCTGTATCTATTGATTATGTTTCTGATTCCTGTCTGGCCTCTCAACTCTTCTGCCCTCTGACATGTTGACCCGTGTTCAGACTAAATGGTGGACGTTATCCACTGGACTCATGAAAACACATTTTCCTCTACCAGAAAATGAAGATAGTTACTTTAAAGAAGGTGCAAAACATCCTTTATCCCACTTTATCCACAAGTTAAAAAAAGAGGCTACAACTGAAAATGCTTCAACTGGAAAATTGTTAATCAAATATGTTGATGGAAATATGTGTTTGTTTAATTTTTCCAGATAATTTGCTTATTTAACTTGAGAACAAGAGAAGTGAGAAGAAAGTTTCTTTTTTTCTGTCTGAGTACTGAGATTTTCCCATTTGTTTTGTGTTTGTTGGAAGATAAACAAAATTTAGTCAAAGTTTTAGTGACAGCTTGCTCATTTATGCATAGAGACAATTGTCTAAAACTGTGAAGTCTACAGATGGCTCTTGAGTAATTTAACTTTTAGTCCAAAACTTTCACTAAGTCCATAGCAACTGCAACAAAAAAAATATTCAAACGCATGACGAGGTAATTTTTTTATCTTTTGAAAAGGACAAATAATTAGCAGGACAAGAGGGTGAAGCAGAGGGATTTTTCTAGCAAAGCTAAGAAAAAGGGAAACCAGAGGAGGTTAGGAAGCAGGTCAGGATGACTAGAAATGCACTAAATGTTTGCAGAGGAGGTGAGATGCAGCTAGAAGCAATACCTTCAGGATTACTCCATCCACCTGCTAAAGCCACAGGAGAAAGGAGGCATAATGGACCACAGGATGGAGAGTTCAAGGGCGTGAGGGAAGCAGAGGCAGAAAGAAACTTGATGAAAAATGCTACAGAAATCTGCAGAATACAGACAATTCAGAAAGAAATTTAACTGAGGCTAAAGCAGTGGCAAATGATAAAAACTTAAAATAAAAAAACCCACACAATCTAAAAGATGGTGACAAATCACTAAAACATATATTCACAATAAACAAAAATGAATTAGGTCGTATTTCTGGAAAAGCAGATTGCATGTTTTTAATCTTAAAGAATAGACTTTTAGTTTAATGAAACTGTTTATTCTTCAAATTTAGCTACTTAAAACATAAGTATTATGTTATTTAGCTACTTAAAACATTTTACTGCAGACTAATAAACGCATCTTGTTTTATTCCTATTAAAGACTCATCTGCTTCTCCTAATAAAACAAAGGTTCATAAATTTCCACCAGTAATTCAGAGCACTTATAAAAAACCTGCATCATAATAAAATAAATACTCCCTTCTGTTCATCACCAACCTGCTACCTTTGCTAGCTTCCTACTTGCTGCCAAATACATGTTAATATAGCAAATTATCAAAAGCCTTTTTGGATGAAAGCTAAATCTGCTAAAGCTACAAGAAAAAATAAAGAAAACAGTAAAGCTGAGACTCAAAATAAATGGAGAAACTAAATCTTATTTCTATAAAAACAGCAATCATTTTAATCAGGTTTGATATCTTGTACTTGATTAAATTAAACAAGCCACTACATAACACAAGTTCAAAAGAACAATCTCTCTGCCGGTGTCACTGCTGCCACTATTTGGTGTCATTTTTAAGCCAACAAAGTAAATTCTTCCCATCCTGTTGCTCTGCAGCCATCGATCACACAGATCTGCAGAGAAACTGAGTTTTTCTCCTGTTACCTCTTGGTTCCGTTGCTCAGAACCGAGCTGGAGCTTCTGCGGGTTTTTCAGCTGCTGCTCCAGTTTCTGGATCTCCTGCTGGAAAACGTCCCTCTCGTGTTCGCGGTCCACAGCTTGTTCCTGGACACCGAAAAAACAGACGAGCAGCAGATAAGGGAATAAGTAAACAGACTCAGGAAACGGCAGAGATGAATAACTATGATGTCTCCGTTCTTCTCACACAATCACAAGACTCGACCTTAAGAAATGTAAATGCTCTGTTAAACTGCCTGGGACTGGAACAAAAGGCTTTCATCATTTATTTTAAATTAAATGTTTTTGTCTTTACTACACAGCTAACTAAAAAGGTAGCAGTAATTGTGTCAAATTAATATTTTAAATAAAAACAAAATGGTTAAACTTGCTGGAGATTTCTTTATGTTCAAGGTGAGTTTATTTGTCTTCATTGTTGCTACATGCTAGCTCCGTAACAGCTAGCATGCTAGCTCCGTAACAGCTAGCATGCTAGCTGCTAGCTCCGTAACAGCTAGCATGTTGCTAGCTCCGTAACAGCTAGCATGTTGCTAGCTCCGTAACAGCCAGCATGTTGCTAGCTCTGCAACTCTTGTGAAATAATATTAACACAAAATTAACATTTTATTGGTTGCTTACGTCGAGAAACTTCTTGTTTTTCTCCAGCTGTTTCTCCAGGGCCTGAATCTGCTGCCGGAGGTCGCCGGTCTCCGTCGTCTGGGAATGCTCCAGCTCGATGACTCTGTTCACCTGCTCCTCCAGCTCGTCCTCCAGCTGCTTCACCTGCTTCAGCAGGTCGGTGTTCTCCTTCTCCGCCTGCCGCTGAACCTCCACCTTCTCCTTCATCAGCTTCTCTGTTTCCTCCAGCAGGTCTGCGCGACATTGTGAACGTCCGGCATTAATACCAGCTGGTTAGCTTCTCAGAGAGACACCAAGGTTAAGATCTGAGATGGAACTGAAGAGTCTGAAGACAGTGACATTTAATCAGATTAAAAGCAGCTTTTGCTTTTTGACATCGTCTACATCCGTTTCTAAACACTTCATCAAGGTCTGAATAAATGGCCGACATCAAACTCTTCCAACATCTCAGTCGAGTTCCCAACACAAAACCCAGTTGCCAGTCATTAACCCCCATGATTCCCAGCATCTCTTTGCCCTTTGCTGCCACCAGTAAATATCCCACATTGGATCAAACCCCACAGGATTAGTGCCACAGTAACAGGAGGACAGAGTGCAAAATGACAGGTCAGACACACAGTTTACATGTTGCATTGTTTTTACATTTTTGTCACATTACATCCAGAAACTTTGACTTATGTTATTAGGATTTTATGTAATTGATTAAGGCTGCAAAATATTTAAAAAAGGTGAAATTGTAACACACATTTTCCTCTTTATTAACTTTCTCCATCAAGTATAAAACATCGCACCTGAAATAAACAAGGTGACTAAATATTGTCTGAAATTATTCATTGGATTAATCGTGATGAATCGATTATTGAAATAATCGTCAACTAATTTAGTAATCAATTGTTAGAAACTGATGAAAGAGTAATCAGTAATTAACTGTAACTGTAAAAAATAAACACATTTTGCATTTATTATTAAACAAAAAAAATTGTAAATATGTTCTACCCAAACCTCCTAAAGTGACAGTTTTAGCTTCACCTGATACAAAATCTGTAAAAAGAAAAAATCTTTTGCTGTGCTATTCTTAATTGGTTTATTGTAAAAATAATCTGCAAGACCTCAGACGCTATGATTTTTACTTGATGTTTGATGCTGTAATGTGACAAAATGAGGAAAAGCTTACAAATAATTCTGCAAAGAAGTGTACAAATGCCTGCAGGTTGTTCTCATCATGCTAAAGCGGATGCCAACACCGACTCCGGGACATTAAACGGGACAAGAATCGGTCAAGACACAGAGCTGCAGCAGAGGTTAGTGACTGTTTTGAGTGAGTATGAGCCCATAGCAAGCAAGCTTCAAGCTGTGTCGATGAGTTGCTGGATCAAGGGTTAGAGAGATGCACGACTTATGAGGACAGACAGAGACATGACCGAGCCATGCTCAAAGTGGACACACCTGCTTCAGGTGCTGCAACCATTGCAGCTTCAACTAGGCCTACAGGAGGATGAGAAAGCACACGAGAATTTAACATGCTCTGGTTTCTTTTGCCACGAACAGGAAAACTGTCAGGAACAGAATGCAGGAAAGGCGGAGAAAGGAAGGTTTTCTTTTTCCCAAAAAACTACAGGAAAAAAAGGGAAGAAAAGTATTGAAGAAGCCCTTGTTTATGATTTTAATAGCAGAATACTCACCATTTATGAGAAAATGTAAGAAAGAAACACCCTTTTTAAGTAATGGGGGCAATAAAGTGTAAAATTAGCATAAACATACATCAAAATTAACGTTACCTCTTGAGAAAAGTAGAGTTAAGACTGAAAAACCTTAAAATATACGACACGAAGGTGTCCAATCTCATCACTAACATGAACGTAAAGCTGTGCATTTATAGCTTTATAGAAATAAATATGGTATTTATAGCAAGATGAGAGTTCACCTACTAAACTCACTGAAGATCAATACATAAAATAAAAGCTGGAGTATAGACATTATTTTATAAGTGCATTTGTGAGCCTCTCTTTATTATTAAATTGAGTATAATTTCAGATTTTTGTATAACTTTTCTTCAGGTGAACTTATAAAGTGAGCCATTATTGTTACAGGTTAATTTTCTAAACAACAGAAAACTTGTTTGTTGAAAACTTAGACTGATGTTGATATCCGATAGTAACACCTGCTCTCATGTCAGATTTACCAGTATTTTTATTTTATCAAATTTTCTTATCTGATTTCTTGATTACTCATAAGAAAAAAAAATATTTGTTTACAACAGCCATAATATGAACATTTATTTATATTTCTGGGAGAACCATTGCTTATTCTGCTTTCTAAATGAAAGCAATAAAATATTTGAAGTAAAGGGACTCAGAATTAATAAAATAATTACTATGAGGTTTTGAAGTTTGGTTGAAGAAACCAGAATTAAAGCAAATCCTTTAAGTGGAAATTGCAGGAAAAAGCTTGAAACTAACCGGCTGTAGGTGAATAATTCACAGCCTTCGCCTACAATTCAACTAAAAATTTACATGTCACTGCAAATAACTAACATGTCTAACGGCTGAGTAAACACTTTTCCCTTTGCGCTGCAGGTAAAAAAAAGGTAACTTTGAGTCAATACACCACAGCCTTGTGAAGCCGCCCCCTCTTTTCGTTGAGGTGATACGTACACAGCTCACGTGGCCCCGCCTCTTCCCTCATGGCGTCCTGTTGCCGTGACAACAGCTCGCGCTCCTCCAGCATCAGAAGCCTCTCCTGCTCCAACTCGTGCAGCCGGCTACTTGTTACCTGAGGGGGAAATTAAAAAAAAAAGACAAATCAGGAGCTGAAATTTGTATGCTTGCTGATACTTGCTGTCATATGTTGTACTCTCTCTCTCTCTCAAAAAAAGAAGAAAACGTCAAGTTTTTTTCTGCTTGAAAAGTAAAAAAAACAGATTTATTTAGAATCTAAGCAACAAATCTGATAATATCGGAGGAGATTTTGTCACATTTTTTTGTTATAATTTTTAATTTTGAGGCCTGAATGCCACACTCAGGCTCAATGTATTTATTCTAACATAAAGTTTGTGGCTAACATCAGACCAGAAGCTTCTGCCCCACCGTTACCGACGGCAACAGAAAAAGTGGACGAGCCACTGGTTGCCACGGTAACCACCAACTGCCAAGAGCAGCATAGCCTAAATGACATAAAAATGTCAGGAGAAAGTAAGTTTTTGACTAAACAAAATTAAGTTAAAGAATAAATAAACCAATTTTGGCAAAATAAAGCTCTTTTACACATGTCCTACTCACTCTTTATTATGTCTTTTTGTGCGTTGTAATCACGCTTGGGCTTGTTTATCTGCTTTAATTTAGCAAAGGATCAGATAATGACATCTAGTTCAACAGAACTTGACACCAGCTGGATTTTTTCTTCATTTTTTAAAACATATTTTGAAAGAAATGCAAAATTGTATCAAGTACAATGGCATTTATGTATGACTTTATCAGTTTAATGACAATTTGACAAGCTATCCAACAAAAATATTTCAGCAAATGTTAAATAAAAATCAAATGTCAACATTTAGTGCCGTTTTTAGCGACACATTGTGCTTAAAACTTAGCTCTCTTGGACTCTAGATGTTATGTATTTATGTAAATCTTAGATTCTTGCTAAGATTCTTGTGTGTCAGCAGCTAAACATCTACCACTTTAGTTATCACATGTCAGGGTTTCCCTCAGTGCATTACAAGCCTGGCGGGCCACCAGGCTTTACTTGTGCCCCCACCAGGCTTAGCATTGTTAATTTATTAGATTTTTTTTTTTTTTTTAACGATTGCCTTTTCTAAGACTTTATAGTTGCTGTTTTGGTTTTAATCTTCAAGTCTTCCAAAATATGCATAACTTTCAAATGATAATTTCAAATTTCCTGTCAACTTTAAACATTTTTAACTCAAACACATGGGGGGGGTGAGGGGGCGCTTAGCAAGTTTTCTGGTGGAAACACTGACATGTCATTTACTTGATCGTGTCTCCCCCTCCCTGCAGCTCACCTGCAGCTCTTGCTCGAGGCTCAGCTGGAGCTCTTCCTTCTGACGCAGCCGCTCCTCCAGCGCAGCTCGTTCTCCCGTGTAGCCATCTATGAGACCTGCAAGAGATGCACGCTTAGAAAGAAAGCAGCAACTCATACACATTCGCAAAAAGAAAAAGAAAAAACTCTCATGTGTTTTTGTTCAGCTCTCTTGTAACAAACACTCAACAGAAGCATTTATTGAGTGAATTTTCATCAGCTACACTGCAAAAACACAAAATATTACCAAGTAATTTTGGTTTAATTTCAAGTGCAAATATCTTAGCATACTTGAAATAAGACCAAACTAACTTACAAGTAACATTTTAGCAAGATATAAAAGTTTGTTTTAAGTAAATAATGTTTAACTTAAAACAAGACATTTTCCCATGTTGTAAGTTAAATTATCTGCCAATAGAACAAGCACTTTTTCATCAATATTATGGAATTATTTACTTAAAACAAGCTTCTATATCTTGCTAAAAAGTTCCTAGTAAGTCAGTTTTGTCTTATTTCAAGCATACTGAGATATTTGCACTAGAAACTAGACCACAACTACTTGATAAGATTTTGTGTTTTTGCAGTGTAACGTTTTCTGGAAGCTTTGTGCTACTAACTCGTGTTAGTATACAAATTATTTTTAAATCAAATAACACTAAAAATCTTCAGAATTCTGCAAAATTGTTTCAACTTCTAGATTTTTTTTATAGCTAGATACACCATTCAAACTTTAACAGGTCACAAAACAAGTTATAATTCACATTTTCTTGTCTTTTACTAGCTTGTAAAATCATATTTTTAGTTTTAAAGACATTCATTTCTATAAAATATACTGCCTGCTGTCGTACCTCGGTTTTCAGGATTATGAATAGACAACAGGACAAAAGATTTATGCAAAGTTTGCCTTGGGAGGGATCTCCGTCAGGTGTCCGATGTAAGCAATTCAAGACTAAAAACAACATCATCCACCAGCTGCAGAGAGCAGCGTTGGAAAACTACAAATGTACTTAATTAATAGGTAAGTTATCAGCCACAATATCTCATTATCTTGTGTTTTAATCAGGTCATGTTTGTGACATTTAATATGTTCCATCTGTAAGAAAAAATATCCTCTTTCAAGGCTAAACTCAATTTAAAGCTCAAAACCAGTTTGAAAACGCCACACCCTGAAGTTTTAACTTGATCTTCCAGCACAATAGTGTAGATATTTCTCTTTCAGATCACTGTGCAACAAGCCCAGTGGAAACACAACACTCCTAACTGGTTAATGGAGCGTCAAAGATCAACGTTCAGACCAGTTTTCACTTTACTTCATGATCTGGCTTACATGGGTGTAGCTTTTTTTAAAGGAATATGGTGTAACTTATTCCACAAAAACACCAAAGTGATATTTTATAACACTGCTCCAATACATATAAAATATCTTCAACAAAAGCTACAGCCTTCAACTCTTTTTGAACAGCTTTCCATTTGATTTTATGACAGAGGTGCTCCTCTACAAGATTACAGAGTAAACAGAGAAACAGGATCCCAGTATTGTAAAGGACAAGCTAAGATTAGAAAGAGCCATAAAGTCACTGCTGCAAAGCAAAAGAGAAGGAAATATTCTTGATCTGTGGGATTAACAGTAAAACCCAAAGAAGAAAGGGTCTGAAATCAATCTGGTGCAGCTGATCAATTTCAGACCAGCTGCTACATAATTAATTACAAATTCGTAGTTAACTTTTTAAAAAATTCAGGTTCATAATCTGCATTTTTTCTTAAGAGTTAACTTTCCTAAAGTGGATTAAAAACAGCAGTAACCAATGGAAAAAGGAGGCAAAAGCTATTGGAAAGAAATCCAAATGAAGCTGATTATATAAGACATTTCATAATTTTTATGATAAAATGCCCCGTAATTTATCCAAATGTGCAATGGCAAAGAAAGTGAAGCACGGAAGGGATGAAACCCCAATGAGTGAGTAAGAAATTAACCGTCAGCCTTGAGAGCTGAGTATTCTTCATGCTTGATGTAAATTTTTCTCCACAGTAAAAGCTGGCTGTTATTTCAGATAGAAGTAAGAATCGAACCCTCGGCACGGTGGAGCTCCAGAGCCAGCTGCTCCCGGGCTCGGGCCTCCTCCGTCGCCCTCTCCTGCAGCTCCTCCTGCTTCTGCAGCAGCTCCGTGATCTCCTGGTTGTGGCGGAAGGATTCCCGCATCAGCTCAGTCTGGGTCATGCGGGCGTGCTCCAGCTGCAGCGAGACACGGAGGTACAGAGCGTCACACAACACGGGAATTTAGAGACTACAAATGCTGCATCTTTGAAACTGCCACCAATCAATTTAATGCTGTAGTTCAGGTTCATTAATATGTAATCGATTATTGCAGATATTGCCATCATCTGACATCTACTGAAGTCATTTCCATTCAAAGTGTGCAAGTATAAAATATGTAAAATGCAAAGTGAGGTTCAGCACCTAATGACTAACGCAGAGCGGCAGAAACAGCAGCAGGAGATAAAACAAATGATTGACTCTGTAAACGAAGCAGTAATGATCCAAACAACCTTTACAACTTAACGCAAAAAACTTGTTTAGAGCCACAAGTCAATACAGGAGATTTGCTGCAATGTTTTTGATCATAATCAGCTTTGTGTTCATTTTTGCTTAATCAAATCACTAGAAAAAGTTAGTTTTAATTCCACTTTTTGCTTCTCATGATCCAGCAGATTTGCCTCATCTTTAATTAAATTGATTTGTTTTGCTTTTACTGTTTGTCCAAAATGCATCTTATGCTAGGAAATATCAAGCAATCTGTCTATTGGTCTCCTGTTCAACTTTTCCCTCATTTGTGAACAACTAAATTAATCCACCGAAGAAATATGTAGATGGAAATTAATATAGATAAACAATCTAAGTCATATAATCCCGATAAAGATATTAATCTAAGATATATCAATTAAAACAGATCTGTGTTTTAACTGTAAAGGTTTTTAAACATTTTATTCTCCAATCTCATCAAGTTCAGTTGACATTTTGTCACCTTTAAAAATATATTGCCACCACAGACTTTTTGGCGAAGCCGTTATTGGAATCCGAGCATAAAAGTCTCATGATAATCATGATAGCGCCGCCACAAACGAAAAAGCAACTCGTTTTACAAACTATAACAAACCCAGCCTATGTGCTGATTTAACGCTTCTGCAGTCGGATATTTTAATCACATCTGCACCATAAAACCTGTCAGTCAGGTGACAGAAGCAACATTTTTCCTGATAAAAATACTTGGAGATACTTGGAGAACATTTTATTTAACCGGCATAAACCGCCTGCGCACTCATTTTCCATAGATTTTCATATCTCTCTGAGCAAAGGTCTTATTGTGATGATGTGGGAACTGGGAAGTGGTAATGTGAACCTGCCACAGAGGAGAAGTCATACGATCTTTCACCTAATGAATCAGGAGAGCTGCTGAGCGCCTGCATGGAGACACATTCATCTTACATCAACTATGTGCATGTTTGGACCTGAGCTGCAGAAAACGGGCCATGAAATGAACCCATGAAACATTCATCCACACACGGTTAAAAAACACAGTCCCTCAGCTCATTTATAATTTAACGCAGCAGCCTGGTGGTAAACTTACTGTATATGGAGGAGTGGGCAGGGAGATTTTAGATATGACTTTAAGAAGGTGGCCATTAGTCCTGTGGTTGACATGCGAGATCTGGGTCTGGACCACCACGGCGTTTCTCGTGTTCAAGGTGCTGCACAGCGGGAAGGGTCGAGGAAGGGGTATGCGGGATTCCACCTCGTACACGTCTTGGTCCTCCCCCTCCAGCCACGTGCTTCTCTGCATGCTCGAGTTCCAGTAGGAGCGATAGGAATCCATGGCGGGCAAAACTTCCAGCCGTTCGCTTTCCTACCCGGATTCATGAAAAAGGGGTTTCTGTCCGATGCGATCCGTCGGGCTCAGCCGGTTCGCTGCGAATGGGGAATAAAGTCCAGCGGGAGATATGTTGTGGATAGCTCCAAGCAACTGTCTCTATGTGTTTTGCACACACATGCAGGAAGAGTAAACATCGTTTGGAGAAGGTGACATTCACGTCATCTCAATAACATGGAGCGTCAGGTGAGCTTTGAGAATAAAAATCCTTCAGGAAAGAGGAGAGTTTTTATAGTCCCGCAATAAAGTGTCATCCTCGGCAGCAGGGTGAAGTCCGATCCAGGTCCGGACGGCTAACATCCGCTCCTGAACATGGCTGGAGGCGGGTAAACGAAAAGCAAAGCATTTCTTCCCTTCATCGCTCCTCGCTGTGCGTCGTCGCTGACCTTCTTTCCTCAGAGTGAAACCATATTACGCCGCTCAGTAAAGCTCACACCCCCCTCTGCTCTCTCTGCTTTCTCTCTCGCTCTCTGGAGATTCATTAACAATACCGTGACGCTGCAGCAGCCCCGACCTGCATGGGAGCCTCCCAGGGGCCCCTTCTAATTGACCGGCCCAGGCGTCAACCGGTGAGAGCGTAATGACAGCGCTCAGATCGCAAGTCACTCACTCTATCCTACTTCCTTCAAAGATTCCTTGCATTACCAATCAACACAACCAGTAAGGTCACCAGAATGTTTCTGCTTAAAGATTAAAAACCACGTAGCCGTAAGAAGAGAGTGCGTTTTCCTACTTCCTACTCTAACACACAGAGCAGGATCCTACCCAGAAAAAGTGGGAGGAGAAATCAGGTGTGGCTTCAATTCTTCTTAAGACCAGCAGACCGGGTAGATTTGCAAACAGATCGCGCTGACAAACAACCAGACACCACACGCCCATTTCACAGAAAGCTGTCAAACCAGATCCTCTTCCCTCTGAAGCAGCAAAAAATAATTCAAGACGATTTAAGCCACTGTTCTGCTCCGTCAGCTGTCTAACAAACTATTTCCATCTCGCCCAGGCAGGAAACAGCGGTGAGCAACCGTGAAAACAAACACCTACCGAAGGGCAAATCATTTACAAGCCGTGGCTCAACGAAGACATTTAACATTCCTGATTGGGCTTGTTGCATGTCTCGGTTAACGACTTGGTGATTCAACAACAAACAGACAAGACTAATGTACAGCCGATCAATAGCAGGAAAATCAATGAAGGAACCATTAGAGGCTCCGTTGATTAGACGTTTGTTGTGCCATCAGTGATGTTCGCTTGCAGATTTGTTAGATATAATCTAAAATGAGGAGATCATATTTTAAAGAAGTAACATCTGATTTCAGAATTTACTAAGTTTAGAGATTTTAGGGCTTTTTATAAGCTGTGGATAATAAATATTTTCATGTCAGAATCATCTTGAATTTTTAATATTCTACAAAAAAGCTGAAATGAAATAAAATACACCAAGAAATCTCTGTGCAACCAAACAAATCAGATTTGACCTTTAACCTTCAAGAACAGTTACTCCTAGTCTCTTCAAAATATAATGCTGAAGAAACGCAGATTATATCCTCTTATTCCACACAGCGTCCAAACAATCACAATTATATAATTTTAATGCTTTATATGATTTTTTACTTATAGCATATAATTGTAAATAGGCCTGTCATGCTAAATTTTGCTGGATGATTAATTGTTCCAGAAGTTATTGCGATAAACGATAGTATTGTTGTTTTCAGAGCATTTTTAAGTAATAAGGGTAAAATAATAATGCAAGAGCATATTCTAAAAGATCTGTAAAACTGGAAGACATTTTAAATATCCAAAATAAATAAAACAACAAATAAAATTAACTTTCAAGTCTTTGTAAATAAAATTGTCCTTCAACATAGGGGCTAGTTGAGACCAAAAGACCAAACTGAAGACTTTTATCATCCAGTTTTTGGTAGAAAGACAGAAAAAAAGAGATAAACAATAAATCACGCCAATGAAAATGATTGAGTTTGTTTTAATTTATCATGTGATTAATTGGTTTATTAATTATTGTGACAGGCTAAGTTGTAAATCCAGAATACATAATTTAATTAAGTTTTTTTTTCCACACATAAAATTGCAACATTTGTTACATTTTCAGCTGTTGCCTTTGGGTTTCACACTCAAAGGAATAAAAACATGTTCACCTCATCACCTGTGGAGGTGCTGCAACAAGAACTACTGAAGGAAACAACACAAAAACCTCTAAAGACGACACTTGGGGCAAATGTAAACACAGATGAAGTGACGTTACGTTGTAGAAATTCTCTTTTGTTTTTGGTAAAAGACTACAAGCCATTTCTCCCACTAGCGCTCGACTCACATGTTTGTTTTGGTTGTATTTACCCAGAATGCCCTGCGTTGTAGTCCGCTTCCGTGTTTTGGAGCGGACTCCGGTCCGCTTGGCTCTCACATACGCTTTCAGACTAAAGCACAGTTTGCTTTTTTGGCTGAAATTGTGCATCCACACATCCCCAAAGGAGCCGGACTCTCTAGGCACACAAACTAGTTTTTGATTAAAGCGGACTAAACACAAACGGTGTGAATGCACTCCATCTAGTAAACGGAAATCAGTTTGATTAGATTAATCACCAGGTACTGCTGATTTGTCTTATTACTCGTGCTACACCAAGATGACCTCAAACATGTTCTGATAAATTTAGTTAGAAAATAAATCCTTTACTCCGATGTTAAAGACACCTACAGAGCAGTAACGCTTTGCCTCCCGTCTTTGGAGCTATTTTTAGAAAACCAAGACAGAGCCCATTTCAGCGTGAATAACACATGAATTCCAGCCAGAGGGAGGGATGAGTTGTGCAGCCAGTTACTGTAACACGCTCAATGGCCTAGTTAAGCTGGCCCCATCTCTGCAAGCTGACACGGACGCAGCGGGGGCGCTGTGCATGGACGCCCTGCGGGGGTGGAGCCGCTCTGCGAGTCTGGACCAGGATAGGTTGCTCGGAAAACACAAAAAGCTCTGTGTAAATACGGCTCGTATCTACAGGCAACCAGAGGGAATGAGGCAGCTCTTTTGTGTGTGAATTCTGGACACATTCTGCCGTCTCATCCCCATTATGTCTCCAAATGAACAGCCGCACAAACCCACGGGTGGGGGGTTAGCAGTGTTTAGAGGTCTTTAAAATGTTTTGAAAGCCTGAATGTGTCACTGGAGTTTTCCGTTTACAGACACAAACACTAGAACGTGCAAGCAGAAACTTGTAGCAGTTTGTTTCTTTGGGCTTTTGTGCAGTTAAATCTTTTACAATATTAATTGTTATGAACAGTTCAGACGGAGAAATGTTAATGTCAATGAACAGAAACTAGAAGTCATGCTGCTCTTTCACATCATGTCATCACTCGGGTGAGATCACAGACTGTGTGTGCTCTCATAGCATGCAGCTGGCATTGTGGAATCAAAGGGGCGTGGCCAACCATTCGTTGTTATTTTATACATTTAAAATGTGTGTGCAGATAACCCCAAATTAAGCTCCTCATTTGTTTGTATCCCCTTCTTTCTTAGCGCTTATCTAATTACTCAGTGATATACGAGTAAAAGTGAACACTGTGAATTCTGGCACCAGCGGTGGCCTCATACCTGGTTAGTCGTGTCCGTTATGGTCACCAACATCTTCTTCACAGCTGCCTGAAGTCGTCTGCTGATGCCCAGGAAATATTCCTCGCTCTCAAGCTGTGATTCTGCCCCAAGGAGCAGCCGGTCCATCATCTCCTGGGGAAACTCCAGAACCTCTTCAGCCTCCAACTTACCAGACCAGAACCTGGCGTCGGCACCAGCTTTCCTGCTCTGGCGAGTTTCTGTGGGATCAGACAGAAAAATGTTTTATTTATGTGAATGTGTGCATATTATGACTCTCTTGCAGAGGTGAGCATCATATTAATTAAAGCACAAAGACAATGACGTAAAAGCTGCGAAGTACAGGCTAAACAGGTTGACAGATTTCACAGCAATTATTATGTACAACTCAAACCGGAATGACCAGAATGCAAATGGGTGTGAATCATTACTTTAAAGGGAGACTGAGAATACGTCAACAGCTGCCACACTTTGGTGGGTAATGAAATAAACCTCTAGTGATAAGTTTCTTATTTTCATAAAACCTCACAGCAAGGGGATGATGATTAGCAGCTAAACTGCACAGGCTGTAAGTTTACAGAAAACCGCTGAACGATTAAAAAAAAAGATGATTTCAGGATATAATGGTCGGCTTCTGCAGGTACAACATAAAACCCATGAAGTTTATAATAATTTTAACTATTACAAATATAAAACACCAAAAAAGTTTAAAACATTTATGAGTTGTTGCACAAGCACCAAGTTAACAGGTTTATTGTATTTCATGTTTTGTTTAAACTGGAAAATATCTGCTGAGCTCTTAAATGTATTTCCATAAAAACACAGATTAGATAATCCAACAAGCAACAAACTTAATTTGCATTTATGTGATAAAACCAGCTGTGACATGTTTTTAATCCGATAACGATAACGCTCATGTGTTCAGCACTGTGGAAAAACAAGAGCTTAGTGGTACAGGACATAAATAAATATTAAAATATTTTAAGGGTTAAAGCATCTACTGCCTTTTCAAATATCCGTATATTTTGAATAACAGAGATTAAAACAAAACAACTCTTGATAAACTCACACACATAATCCAGAATTATTTTCTTTAGAGCAGCCAACATACTTTACAAGACATCCATAATTAGTCGTTAATAGAAAACGAAATATTTTCAATAAATTAGTTAGTTTGATAAAATGAGACACCATCTTTAAATTCTGTGGTGCAATTTATCTGACCTATATTTTATTTGCATTTCAGAGCATAAACAATAAAATTATATGCATTCTAACATGTAGAAATCAGAAATGAAACAGAAAATCCCAGTTAAACCAAAACAACATTTGAAACAACGTTGCTTAGATTTCAGTAATAGTTGCCAGCAACACCTTAGTTTGACCTCAGTGGTTGTTACAATTAACATAAGTCCAACTTCCAACATTTTACTGGCTTGTGGTTTAGATCAGGTTTCCTGTCACAACCTAAACATATTTTATCTTACGATAAAATAATATGCACTTGAATGAATTTGTCTGTTAAAATGTGCAACAAACGAACATTTTGGAGTAAACACAGGTCTGGTGCACATCCAGCCACCTGGAGGATGTTAACTTGGACTCTTAACTGTTTAACCAAAAGTGTTTTCTAAATCATGATGTTACTCGCCTGGAGTGTCACTCTGGCAGGTTTGTGTCTGTACGTTCGACTCGCTAGGCTGCACTGCAGCTGAAGCTTCACACAGTCTTTGCATGTGGAGGCCTAAAGTTTCCTCAGCTGCAGCGGTCGTCTTCAGGACGTCTACAAGCACTTGGCTGAGCTTCCTGTTGGCTTCACACAGCAACTTTCTAAAAATTGAGGGAATAAAATGCATGTTAGCTGGTTGATTAAACATTTAATTCACCATATAATTGTGCAAAACCTCATTCAGAATGTTTTGTAACTTTACAGTTGTACCTTTCAGCATCTTTATCTGAAGACTCTCCATCATCCTGCCTTGATATTCTTGATATTTTGAGTTCTTCATCTACAGTTGTGTGAGCTGAATCTTCCTCCTCTTCTTCATCTTCCGCCTCACCATCGCCTTTCTTCTTCAAGGCCTGAACAGGCAGCAGAGAGAAAATAGACAGCAGCCCCGTCATTTCAAACTTGCAGCCAAACAAGCAAGCTGCTGAAAACTAAACTGCGCTGGAAACTGCAACATCGCGCGTGCAAACATTAGGAAAAGTAAATTCAAATAAGCCGCAGTCGCGCACAGGCAGAAACACTGCCTGTTTATGAACACAAAGACACAATTTAACTCCCTCAGAGCCCAGAGAAACACTAGTATCTTTGTGCTGCTATGGCAACAGGTGCACCTGAAGGAGTGGAGGGGATCAGACAAGAGCTCCCCCCGGTGGAAAAGCAGCCACAGTGCATTTTATTCTGCTCAGAGAAGATACGGATCATGCATTTTATATCATGTTAGGTCTGAATTTTTAAGATAAAATCCCCAAAACTGACCCTGAACACTGAGATATTTTATTGTTTATTGTTGTTATTTACCAGAACTTAATTCACAGTATCTTATTTTTCAAGAAAATTATAAATATTCAAGAAGAAAATGCAACAATGAAGTTAATTTAAATAAAATCTAACAGTCATTTAAACTGAAAACAAGACTAAGAAATAATTTTTTTGTGTAAAAACAAATATTAAAACTTTGATTCTTTTGCAAATTGATGAAGAAGCATTGTGAACTGATGTAAAACCTAAAGCACTCCCTTACATAATTAATAACAGATGTTATAAAACCTATGAAACGACACATTTAGATGGAAAAGACGAACTGACCTGCTCAAGTTCAGTTTTCTGCAGCTCCTCCTTCAGTTTTCTGATCTCAGCGTTCCTCTCTTCCAGTTCCCGTTCCAGTTTCTCTCTCTCCGCTTCCTCTAACCAGACACCTGCAGGCGGGGAAGCCCTGGGAGTCTGCTCCTCCATCTCCCCGTCGACGTCCTCCTCGTCCATCTGGGTCTGCATGGAGCTGTTCATCTGGCTGGCTCGTCTCCGGATCCGAGCCAGCTCAGTCTGCTGCGCGAACTCCACGGACATCTGGACTATGGCCTGTGGAGAACCAGGGAACAAAACACAATCTTTAGTTTTTATTTGTGTGATTAAAAACAGCAGAGGTTAACAACAGCTGAAAAATTGATTTGGGTGCTTCTTTTGTTGCCCAGTATATGAGCTACAGTAAATCTACAAACCAAAATATATCCATAAAAATCAAGAAAATGTGTATTTATGCAGCATGAGTTACAGAGCTACTCTCTCATTATTTCATCAAAACTTTTGCAGGTTAGATGCAAAGTTTGTATTAAAACTAGAGCTGGGCAATGTGGCTTAAAAACAAAATCTCAGATTTTTCATCCCAGATCCAACTGATTTATTTTTCTAACGTTATTTTCTAAAACGGAAATTACAAATTCTCAAAAAGTGTTTTTTATTTCCTTTATCTCTTTTGTGAGTTGTATAATGGAGCATTAGGACCAGACTACAAGAATCTTTGATTAATTGTGAGAAAAAGAGACAAAATTTGACCAGAAAAATGTCTTAAAATAACGAGAAAAGGTTATTTTAATTTGAAAAAAGCTTCGATACAGTTATCAGGATCAGACGTGACCAGCTCCGTCTGTGTATTTTTCTTCAAAATAGGCACATTTGTTTGCATGACCACTTCAAAGTTTTGCTACTAACAATAATTTAATGCTGATGTGTTAAAAGATTAAATATTTATATTAAACATTTCCTGTCAAACTTACACCAAGCTTCACAAAATGCTCAACATTCCTCATTTTAATTTTTAGTTATTGATTGTGTTGAGTTCTCATAAGGTTATGACCTAATACTCATACCACTATAACTGTATTTTTTGATACTATGACCTTATTATTGTAATTAAAAGAAAATAAATCATAGCCTGGCCCTAATACTCCACCACAGACCTGAAATCAAAGCCCAAATTAACAGAAGGTTTTCAAACAAGATGACGTCACTTTGAATATGGAAATCCAAAAGCTAAACCTTTAAAAACCAAAAATGTTGCTGAAACAATAAAGCTGATTTATCGCCACCCAACATATTACGTTACTACCTTTGCTACTTCCTCCTCCACCCTCTCCTGCTGCAGTCTGTCCTCCAGTCCAGCGGCGCCGAGGCTCTTCGTCGAGCTTCCGTTCACCCCGTTACGATCCAGCCTCCTCTCTCCTCTGCCTCCCCAGTTTTCCCTTTCTTCTCTCAGTCTTCGCAGCTCGATGCTGTGCTGCTCCTTAAGAGCTGCCACCTCTTGGTCGTACTTGTGGTGCAAAGCTTTCTTGAGCGCCTGCAGCTGCGGCGTCAGGCTAGACGGCCTGGCAGAGCGGCGCACCCCTTCGTCTCGCTCTGAAACGTCTTCCTCACTCCGCTCCTGACGAGAGATGGGAAAATTAATTACTGGTAGTAGCAGATTCATTCCCCATCAGAGCCAAAACGACCAATCATACTTGATAAATATTGTAGTTTGCTCTCCAGGCTTCCGGAAATAATAAAAAGCTAAATTTTCAGCCAACACTCTACCTCTCCATCTCGTAATTTAGTCACTTACTTCAATTTTAAGGTTAAACCTCTAGAAAATATCCTCCTATAATCTGTTCTACAGCATTTCAGATGTTTTTGTTTTCCATTCATCTTCATCTATCTTCTGTCTTTCCCTCTAAACTCTGTGCAGATATGAGAGCTTTAAAATATAAGCTGCCGGGATGAAGGGACTGGCTAAATGACAGCCTAGTAGAGGGGATAGATGTTAGAGCGTTAGCTTAAATGGAGTGCAGCTCATTCACGCAAGACAGAATCCCCCTTTCATGCAACCTCCAAGACCAGAATAAGTCCGCCTGGTCAGGACAGTGTTATATAATGTCTGATCCTTTAAATCATTAGATATAGGTCCACTCATGAGGTCGCCTGTGGCGTTTCAGTGAGATGTGGATTTAGGGCACATTTTAGCCTCAAGGCTGCAGCTCCTCCCTCACCATCAACCCGTAGCTGTCAAAGCATCTTAACGGGTCTCCAGCTTGTAATAGGAGTTGATGCAGGAGGCTTAGGAGGAGGTAAACTGTCAGAACCAGACCTTTAGTTCCTGTTTTCGTTCCTCCGTCCCCTCACAGCCGAACTCTGGACTGCTGGACAAGCTGCAAAACAAAAGAGCACAACAATCATCATTCATTTCTGAGATTTACTTCAAAAGTAAACATCTACCAAGGTGTTAAACATGCTGTTATTTCAGGAGATAAAGATTTTTATGAAATAAATGCTATAAAAAATTGCTATCAAGGTTTCTTCATATTTATTCATATATTTATTTATTCAGTATTTATTTCCAAATTCAATATTTTTCCAGACTAAAATTTTTCATACTTCTTAAGTTGCTTCAAAATATAAACAGAAAAATATCCATGTACTTTATATCATTTATTTCTATTTATATCAGGCCTTGCATATGAAACCAAATGTATGTAGTTTCTTAAGAAATTGCTGAAGTTCTCAGTGTTTTTAGACTATATCTAAAGTATAACTACAAAAGTTTACAAGGCCAATATTTATGCTATTGTTAGAATTTAAAACTGAACCTCCACAAACCATAAACTGAATGAAAGAATGGAAATAATGAGAAATCAAGTATTTATACGAAACTATTGTGAATTCATCTCTACTGAGCAGGTTTGAATAGTAGATTATAAGACAAAAACTTAAAACTCCAGTTTTATGTATTACTTTAGTGATGCATTATGAGAGTCCGATAAAAGAAAATACTTAATATTTTATAGTTATAAAATCAAACAGTGGAGGGCAGCAGGGAATCGCAGTAGGACAGTAAATTCTGTGACGAGGTGAACAACCTGTGGATCTTAATCATATTTATTACAAATTAAGAAGAAATAATAGTTTTGAATCCAGAGCCAAAGGGAAAAGCTAGTTTAGCAGTTAATCTGTTTTTATGCACCATGTGTTTAGTATTCATAAAATTATCCCAACAGAATGGTGGTAATAATTTACCGCCATTGAAAGAAACCAGGAATGTTTCTATGATGTTTTCTATGCGATTAGGTTATAGTGGGAACCTTATGGTTTATTTGTATTATTATATGAAAACAAACTGCTCAAGAGGAATTTGTTTGTTATAAAAAGTTGAAATAAATTATTTCGGGTTCAAAAATTTCACAATAAAATACTATATAGTCTAGCATTAGGAAACTTTATGAGAAATGGGCAAAACATTTAAGCCTAATATTTCTTTATGGTTTGTTTCAAAGAAACCCAACTTTCTTACCATCTTTAAAAATTACAAGTAAGAGACGACTCGAGACTTCAGAAAATAACTGTTTAAATAAACAGTATGTCATTTCTTTCAGATAAACAAGCAACTCAAATGTTTAGACAAGCAACTTTTACCTTTCTTTCTTGTCAGTTTAAAATTAATGACAAAAAAATGGAGACAATAAATAGAGAACGTTTAAAACTGCAGTGGGGATTCTTGGGAGTTTTTTGGCAATTTTTCAAAACTCGTTTGTCTCTGCAAATAAGATAAATTAACATTTTTACTCCGAGTGTTTTCTTTTTAGAATCCGATCTGTAAGACCCTTTATGTTTTTTGTCAGGTTAAAACTTCCTGTGTGTTGTATTTAAGTTCTGGTGCAGGCTTCTGCCATCTTAGCTGAGACAAATTTATAAATGAGACGCACATAAAAACAATATGAGCACATTTTTTGGGGGGCAGAAAAATCTTTAAATTAGATTTAAACAGTGTTCAAATAAAATCTGCACCAAAACCGCTCTGACGACTAAAAACCTTTATAATATACTTTGTCCTCCACCGGCAGGCTCAGCTTTTATAAGCAGGTATCCATTCATTTGTGCATTCCTGCTTATAAAAGCTGAAATCTGTCAACTATTTTATTTATTTATTTTTTACTTTAACTTGTCATCTTTTTCTCACTTTTTTAACACTTTCAACCTGGATCACGAAGTTATCTGAAGAGGTCTGAGAGGCTTTTTTAGATGTTTGTGTATAAATAAAAGCTGCACTGCTGAATGTAGTTGGACTCTTGACCTGCATTTGATAGGTCAGATACCTTTCTGTTGCAGAAGCATCTGTTTGAAGTTGGGATCTCAATCCTTTTACAGTTCCCTAAATGTCACCAATCAATCAAGCTCAACCTTTAAAAGCAGCTCCCAAAATGAGGTAGTAAAAGCTATAAAAACGTAACCCGAGACTGTAGATTTTTATAAAATACTTACTGATTTTTAAAATTCATTTTAGAGACATTTAGCAACTAAAATAAAAATTGAAACATGAGATTGGATTTAAAAATGCACCAACTTTTAGAACATGAGCTAATCTACCAAACTAAGATTTGTAGAATATGTGTCTGTGGGCAATAAATAGGAGACTGAATGTTTTTGTTTGATCACCTGTAGTAAGTCTGGGCTCCTGTGGCTTCCTGCAGTCGCTGCTGCAACACAAACAGCTCTGTGGCGTAGCGCTCCTCCGTGTCTGCGGCCTGCTGCTGGTAGTGAGCCCTGAGGCGCTCCATTTCCTGTCGGTGGCTCTCCTCCAGCCGGAGCTGCTTCACCTGAGCCTCGGCCTTCAGCCTCTGGAGCTCCACTGATGTCGGGTCCGATTCCCCGGCCTGCTCCCCCAGATCTAATAACGTAGAAATAAAACTGTGGCTTTTACACAGCTAAAGGAATACAGATTAGGTGTAAAAAAAATTAATTAATAAGAAATAAAAAGGAAAATGAAGTAAAGTAGTATATAAATAGAGAAAATAAGAAGTAGCATTTGAAATTTGCTAATTGTAAACAGAGAATCTCTGGTGCAAAATGAACTAGAGAACAGTGATTTTAAAAAACACAATACCTAGAAGAAGCTCAAGGTCTGCAGCACTTGAAACAATGAATTAAGGAATTGAGGTTTTTATTTTTGTTTTGTTTTTTACAGCAAGCAAACAAAAATAAAACTGAGAGAATGGCACCTTTGTGTTTGTTTCCTGCTGCACTGAGCTGAAAGACTGAGTTTCTGGTCAATGGTAAATCCAACTGGATCATTGCTGTAATAGTGGCTGAATTTATATCCACTCTGCATTAGATTAAGAGCTCAGAGATTTGATTTAAACTGTAAAATTAACTAAATTTAAAAAATCAATGTTAAATTTCAAAAGCAAAAATTAGACAGTATTGAGATGCTGTCAGACAAACTTGTTAATTACCAATAAAAAAAGTTTCCAATTATTACGGTTTATGCAGGTTTCACCAACTCAAATTTAAAACTTTTAAAGACCTTTTTAAGACAATTATGTATAGAATTTAAGACCCATAGCTCCACAGAAATGTATGAATGTCGTCAGCCAAATAGCAATAAATTGGAACTTACCCATGATGGACGCAAATAGGAGGCTAGCTAGCTAGCTAGCACCGGTATATTAGCAGCTAGTCAAACATTATTTCCGTATAATTATAAATGTATATTATATATGCATATATAAATACTTTAAATTATTATTTACGTCTATAAATAATGTCCATGACAGCTAGTTAGCGCAAGTCTCAACCGTTTTGAGTTGAGACAATGAAGAAGTCTGAGGGCGACTCAAACTTTTGCCTGACAGAAAAGTGACGCAAAAAAACAAAAAACAAAACAACAAAATTAAAAAGTTATGTGAAGACAAAATTTTTAGGACGTGGGAATTATACAGGCCACCTAACTTTAAAAAAAAATTAATTTAAGGCATTTTAAGTGTTTTCTCTTTGTAATAATGAATTTAACACTTACTGTATATTACAAAACCATCGGACTATTAAAAATCTCCCATGAGGTCCACATATAGACTTTGAAAATGGTATTTCCTCACCCAAAGTCTTTTACAGAAGTATGGGTTAATTGAACATTTCTTATTTAATTAATAACCAATAAGCCCCAATTAGTTTTGCTTTGAAATAATTGAGGATTCTAACACACAGGGCAATCAAGCAAAAAATATACGATTATCCAGGCCAATGAATCAAATGGGAAGTGTTCTTACTATAATGTAGAAAGCTGCTGAAAAGTCCATTAGATAATTTAACAATAATTTAAAAAATATCTGGATTTGTAGGTCAGGAAACATTCAATCAGTTACAATGAACCAAACTAATAACTGTGTTTGAATGCAGTAGCAGCACACATTAACATTTATATCCTACACCCCAATACACATCCAATATACAAATAAATGTGCATAATAAACAATCCAAACACTTAAAAACATGACTAGAGTTGATGAGCTCTGTTTCTTCAGGCTAAGAGCCACATAAAACACAATTTTGCTAAACACAAATGCAAATGGTAAGATGAGAAAATGTGTGGCAGCAGCTTTGGAGAGGTGATCAGATTTACCTCTGCTTGTAGGAAGATTTATTGTGGCAAGCTGTGCATTGAGGTCAGACATCTGCTTCTCACTGTTGATCTTCAGTTCATCATAGGCCACCTGCAGCTCACTTATCTAGGAGATTAGATTGAGTTTTTCTGTTAAGCTAGTGCTCTGCTACTAAAAAAAGTGTCCACTTTGCTGAAACAGTTAACACAGACTCTAAATAAATTATAATTTATCCAAAAAAAACAAAACAAAAAGATTTAGCAGTTCTAGGTTAAAAAATGCTTATAATTTTACTGTAAAATGGAAATGATTTTCTTATAGGTGCAATACCAAAACAGAATCTGCCTGTTTGGTGAATTTGAAACATGTGAACGAATACAGTAAGTAATTACACCCATGTGGTGTAAAACTTTAAGGCAGTGTAAGAATCTGTGCATTTTTACCTTATTTACATCAGATCTCAGCAGATCTTGAAGCTGAGAGAGACGATCGTGCTCATGCTTAATTTTCTCCCTCAGCTGCCAAAGATTGGTGTATAACTCTAGAATAAAAGGTTAAAATAAAGAAAAATATTAGAGAGAACATAGATGAAAAACATACAGATTACTGTTGTAATTCTATAAAGAGTGTGTACCTCTAGCCTCCTGAACAATGGAGGTGGATTCACTAGTTGTTGGTCTTTCCTCTGAAATAAGCGACAGGTCTGCTGTGTTGACACTCTCCAAAAACTCTTTACCAAAAATCTTCTGGAAAGACTGAAAACAGTCCACAGACAGCACTCAGGGTTAATGAAAATGTGGGAACACATGCAAATTAAAAACTGGTGTCTCAGTTTAAAATTACCAGAATTATCTCACTGCATTCTTCTGACACAGCTTCTATCATGTGTTTGGATTTTTTTCTGCCACCTGAGAAAGCACAGACACTTCAGACAACCCCAGATGTACTACAAGCACAAATAAATGTAAGACATGCTGCCTGCAGCTCGATAGCATTTTGTAGCAGAAACAGATTTACCCGAGCCACTTTGCTCTCTGAGGTCCAGAGAGGCGTCCGTCTCTTCCTGCAGCAGCTCCAGCTGAGCGGCGTGAATCTGAGACAGGCTGATGCGCTGCGCCTCCATCTGCAGCCTGCACTCCTCCTTCACACACAAAGAAGAAAACATATTAAAACAGACTAATTATCAGTTAAATAAATCCAACTGCAACCACAGAAATTTAATTATTTACTCCAGTGGTGTCCAAACGTTTTGTCACATGGGCCAAAATCGTCAAGTCAAAAGCAGTCGCCGGCCAAAAACGACAAAAAAGTTTTTTTTGTTTTTTTTACTGTTCAATAATAAACTAAGCATGCAGTAATTCTAATTAAATAAGTAGTGAAGTCAGCATTTGTGTAGGAAAAGGAAGTTTAAACTAAAAGACTTTCTCATGTTACAAAAAGAAAGATATCTGGTTTACAAATATTTTTGGGTTTGGATAAAAAAAAATTAAAGAAAAACATTTTACTTATTCTCAGGAATAAGAACAGGATTTGGGTCACTCGCTTTTAAAAATGCTTATATGTATCAAGCAAAGGTTAAAAAAATTAAATAAAACCAGATTTGAGTTCTCTAAAGTCTGTTTCTAAGTCAAAGTCAGTTGATAAATGTGATCATATTTAAAATGAAACTAAAGAGAAAGTAAAAAACATGGTTGTTAAAAGAATTACTTTGTGTTGCACTTTGGAGAAAGTAATAGTTTGGTCTAATTAAAGAAAATAAAATCTTTCTGCATCAACTACCTATTGTTGCCCTCAGAATCAGTCAAGGGGCTGCAAATGGCCCCCCAAGCCGCAGTTTGGACACCCTTTATATTTAGTCTATTATTACACATAAAAACAGCCAGCAAATGACAGTTATAAGATAATCAAATGTAACCATGAATTAAATTTTGTAGCATCCATTTTCTCATGAAAAGAAAATAAAAGATTAAAATCCTAATCCCAACAATCTCATTTCTGAAGCAGAAACGTGGCTCGGAACCATCTGCGCTCAGGATGAGAGCTCTGTTCTTATCACTTCAGGACGAGAACAACAAAAAGCTCCTTAACATAATGATGCATAATGCATCAGCACAAATTTGTGATTCTGTAACCTTCTGATATTACGAGCTTTAAAGTGCACTCTACATCTTAATTAGGCCGTACTTTAAAACGCGGTGTTATGATACGGTCACTCCATCCGACGGTGTGGAGGAGAGAGCCCGTTTCCTGACAAGCATCTCAGATGTTGGTGATTAAACAAAGCATGCAGATGAGAGAAGGTCAGCGGAGAACAAACAGGTGGATGACTGTTGTGCGGCGACCCTTTGCCGCTACACGCAACCACTACTAAAAGCAGATCAACCCTACAAATAAATGCAAATTATTTTAAAAAATGGGCTTTCAGTAAGTCTACCTTGTCTTTCTAACTTTTTATTAATTACATTTGACCATGTGTTAAATTGCTGACAATTGCACTTTTAAACTGTTCTTCTGTTTCTGCTACACTTGAAATTTTAAGATCATGCAACAGGTTTTACAATCAGACAAAGATAACCTGAGCAGTTTGAGGGAAAAATAATTCTAATATTTACTTTATCAGACAATTAAAAAAAGCTATCCAGCTCTGGAATGTTTTTAGGTATAATTTAAGGGTTGTGTTACAACATCTCAAATTGATTTCAGACCAGATTTGACTAGGCCAATTAAAAAACACAAGGGTGCTGGAGGTACAGGTCACAAACTGATAGTCAGATCTTCTTCTTCAGGATTTTTTCCATCTAGATAATGAAGCACATACAGCTGAAGTTGTTAAAGTGAGCTTATTTAAATGTTTATTTTGTCTTCTTTACTGATTAAACAGTGAGGAAATCACTCTAACTTTGGCAGCAGCCTCGGGGAAAAATCATCTTCTGCTTCACCCTGTTTTAAGGGGTTGTGTCGAACCAGTGACTTCATGACATTTCACTCTTTCTTCCCTTTCCTCACAGGACTGCTCCACGCTTTTACACTTCTCCCCTCTAATTCTTTGGCTCCTTTGATGCCGCTGCAATTAAACTGATGTTTGTCGACTTGCAGAACACAAAGCTCTGCAATTAAATTCTCCCTTTTGCACTCAAATGAAAATTCTGTGGACTGTGCTCATGGCCCTGCATGACAATTTCAGGAGCATCAACAGAGCAGAAAAATATCTGCTTTTTGTAAGAGCGCAGCTTGAAGCATCCCTTACAGTAGAGCCCCTCTCCATCTATCAACCTTTACTGTGAGCTGAATGATGCATCAAAGCAACTTCAAGACAAAGAGCAGGATGTGAGCATAAGTGACATTTACATGCTCAGAGGTCTCTTCTTCCTCTTCAGCACACTCCGTGTGACAGCCCATCCCCTGTCCGCTCACCTGTATGAGCAAGCAGAATATAAAAGACATTTTTAATACAAAGTGAGAAAAAACCTTAAATATACAGCACCTTCCAAAGTATTCATCACCATTGAACTTTTTCACATCCCTCTCCGTTTTAATGCATTTTAATGGGATTTAATATGACAGGCCAATAAAAAACACCTCATAATGAAAAATGAAAGATGCATTTTACATGGTTTTCTTTTGTTTAACAAATAAAAATCTAAAAAGGGAGGTGTACATTTGCATTCAGTCATCGATCTGAGTCACTGCTTTGCCGCAACTACAGCTGAGAATCTTTTAGGATATTTATCTCCATCAGCTTCACACAACTGAGGACGTAATTTGGCTTTGAATTAAATTCAGTTTCCAAATTACTTAGTTTATCCCAAAGGGATAATTAAATTTTGTTGTAACGCAAATCATTCCAGTGTCTTCAAATTAGCCGTTGACGGTAGCAGTCAGTCTTGCAACAAATCTAAATAGGCCTCTGACTGAAGCTTGTTGCTGTATGACAGTCATAACATGCCAACAGCTAGAAATGGATTCTGCAGTTAACATGTCCTGGATGACACCTTATTGGCAAGAACCCCTTTTGCTTTTGCCAATTCTTCTGTGCAAATCTGCATTTCATATTCATTCTTAATCAGATATATGTCTTGACTTTGAGTAGGCCTTTCAAACACTTGAATATGCTTTGATCTAAACCAAGATAAGAGGATTATTAACATTCATAAACTGTTATGGACGTTCCTCTATCTCTTCCTCTTTTTTATACGTATGTATAATTAGAAACATATCAATGTTTCTAATGAACAAGGTAGTCTAAACACTGGTGACCATGGAGACAGTGTCGCACCGTCATGTATCCTAGCATGCACGGAAAAATCTGGTTAGCATCTCGTCTTCTGTACGTTTTTAATGCTGCTCCGGTGTAAAGGGAAACGTTTGACATAGTGATATAAATCAGGTGGTGTGAATTCAGGCAAAGTCGGTAATTTGATCAACACATCAGCAGGGAGGATGTATGGCTCATTTTCTAAGCTAGCTGTTTACAACTTTTATAAATATCGCCGTCTATGAGCCCCAATTAGGTGTGTTTACATTCACAGACAAATTAGCTCGACTCGCACATGTAGAAACCGTGAATAAACTGGCAACAACAACGTTGGAAAACAATTTCAGATGCTCTGCCGATTCTCACTTCCGACGTCCGTCATGGCGAAAGTGTCAGTGACTTAGTTGCAAAAGGTCACTAGGTGGACTTCCATGTCTTTGTGGGTTTGCTTTGGTGCTATACTTTAACATCTCACACTGTGTGAGATCTTAAAGCTTCTGAAATTATTTTGTAACCTAACACTGCTTTAAATTTCTCCACAGCTTTACCTCTTATGTGTTCACTGTGTTCCTTTGTTTGTATTCATGATGCCGATTATTTTCTAATGTTCTTCCATAAATCTCTGAGCCCTTCACAGAACTGAATTTTTACTGAGATTTTATTACCCACAGTCGGACTTTTTGCTAATTAAAAAAAAAAAAAAAAAAAACTATCACAATGTTAGATTCAATTTATTGTAATTTCACAGTAAACTACAACAAAATTAGTAGCACAGCTTATATTTAGAATTATTTATTAGTGTTTGTTTAAAATATCTAAAATACTGTAAAACTTTCCTCTTATCTTCAGTTTTCACTTCATACAGTTGTTGTTTTATTTATTTTTAAGCAGTTATGAGGCACAGTGGCTGCTGTGCCAGTTACTCAACTAGTTGTTGCTAGGTAACCAAAGAATGAGTGAGTTGCTAGGTAACCAAAGAACAAGCAGTCAGTTGATTTCACCAATCTTGCTGGAAGAGAAGTTTAGTGGCCAAGTCTGTCCTCTGCTTACATCTCCCAGAATCCTATGCGGTTCTGGATCGGAGTTCAGTGAAATTATTGATAATTCTATTGGACGTTTTATCTACTGAAATTGATCACACGTCTATCACAGTGTATGTTGTTATTGATCGATTACCCAGCCCTACACTTGAAGGTAATTTGTTGAGCTAAATTTTATTTAAGGGGAATTAGAGTATTGGAGACTTAATAGAAATAGTCAACACATGCTTCAGATTTGTAAAAAAAAAAAAAACTACACAATTATCCATCCATTTATGTTGGTCCGTCCCATTAAATCCCAGTGAAATACATGAAAGTTTTCAGTTGCAACGTGAAAAAATGTGAAAAAGTTTAAGGTGCGTAAATATTTTAGAAAGGCACCGTCTCCTCAGCAAGAAATTCAGACAAAACAAGACAATGATGGACAGAATAAAATGCACCATTATGGATCACTTCCTGAGACGGAGCAGACATTAACTACCTTCATTAAAATTCCTCTTTAACCCATTAAGGATCAAAACTAGAACTAGTTTTAAAGCAATTATGAATTATCATTTTAAAGACTTTTTAATGGCATCCAAAAACAAAGCAGCTTTTGGGCATGAAAGTTATATCCAGCTCGGGGACGGTTTTTTCCATCCCAGGAGGTGACTAAAGCATCACGAAGCACAGATGCGAGATGGCAGACAAACATTGTACAAAATCTTTTGCTTTGTGTGTGTGTTTGTGGCACAGCTGGAGGTGACACGGACAGAAAGTGACTGGGTTAAAATGGCTTCTCACCTCAAACCCTTCACTCCCTGCAGGATGGAAAGAAACTAGAATGTACACATTTCTACACAATGGCAAATTCAAAGCTATAAGCAGACTTGTTTATCTGTTCTCAGCTGTTATCGAGTTAAATGGTGAGCAGCAAGAACAAGCCGAGCAAAAAATAAATAAATAAAAGAAACAGTACAGAGGTCTTTTTCATGTCGAGTCCTCACATGAATTTTACATGCAGGCTGTCGTGTACGCAGCTTTTCTGGCTGCAGAAATGTAAAAAATGCATCTTTGAAGGCAGCAGTCTTGCTAAACACTGCCTTTCAAAGCAAGCCTTCAGACTCTAAGGCAATTTACAATCAACACTGTTGCTCACTAGAGAGGAAATCTGTCAGAGCTGAACCGCTCCAGTCATATTCTCCTCATGAAAAGAGAAAGAACATTTAAAAAAATCAACACCTTGTTTGGCCTTGAATCCACTCTTTAGACATCTAAAAAAAAAAAACTCTAAACTAAATGAATTCAAAGTGGCGTGATTTCCACGGATGCTTCATTTGTTCAGACTTCAAAGAGGAAAAGAAAAGAGCAGAAACATGTGAGTGCTCACCGCTTTGTTGATGTAGCCTCTGCCTCCGTCTCCCTGGTACCCGGCGGCGGAGTCCTCCTTACCGGCGCTCTCCGGTGAACATGACATAACTCGGCTCTGCGTCTGAGGCAGCATCTCCTCCTCTGCAGCACTTTTCGCTCGCTCTTCCTCCTCCCTCTGTCGCTCCTCTGAAGCCGCTGAGCCGGCTCTGCTGCGCTCCTGCTTCGACCTCTGCCGCCTTTTGCGCCTGCTTGACCCTGAGGACGCCGGCTTGTGCGGGGAGGATCGTCCCTCAACAGGTCCCTCCCCAGAGGAGTGCGCCGCCGCCGGAGACGGAGTGTGCGAGAGCCTGTGGAGCTCCAGAGTGCGCAGAGCGCCGTCTCTCTCTGCTTCGGCTGCACCTAAACGAGCCGTCAGAGCTTTGATCTCCTGCTGTAGCGACTGAATCTGAAGGCGATGATCCTCTGAAGGAGAAACCGCCTCAACAGTTTGCTCTTCCTTCTGAAGGAGTTTTTTCTGCTTGCTGCTAATCTCCTGTGCTTTCTCCAGTTCCTTTAAGAGGCTTTCATTTTTGGCGATGACCTCTGAATTTTTCTGCCTGGCTTTGATCAAATCTTCATCCAGCTGCCTGATTCGGGTCTCAGTAACCATCAGTCGCTCTGTAACTTCAGAGAGCCGATCAGCTTGGCTCTTCTTCTCTTTCAAAGTAACATTAAGCTTCTCCATCAGATCGCGCTCCATTTTCACGTTGCCGCTCCGCTCCTCCAGCTCTCGGATGTCTGACTGAAGGCGTGCGATCTTCGCCTCAAATTCGAGTGTCTCCCTGAGCGTCCTCTCCTCCAGCTGCGTCTTCGCCTCTGCCAGGCTCGCGTACTCTTCCTTGAGCTCCTGGAAGTTCACCTCGAAGTTCTTCTCTGCAAAAGAGAAAGTGCTCTTCTGCTTCTCGATGTCCTCGCGAAGCTCGTCTACCCGTCGCTGGAACTGATCGTTCTGTGCCGTTAGCATCTCTATCTTGTCTCTTAAAGCGCTATTAGACTGAAACAACGTCTCCTTCTCCTCCTCGTGCTCCTGTAGTTTCTGTTCTTTTTCCTTTTTCTGGTTTTCCAGAACCTCCGTCTGTTTCAGTAACAACTGGATTTGATTTTGCATCCTCACTCGATCTTGGGCACCTTTTCGAAGTTCCTTGAGTTCAACCTGAAGCTCCTGGAGCTGCAGAACTAGCTCCTCCGTTTTGGAGCTTTGCAAAGCCAGCTTCAGATCTTCCTCCAGCCCGTGAATCTTTCGCAGAAGGTCGTTCCTCTCTGCAGCGTAACTCGTCTTCTCTTTCTGTAACAAATCCAACTGCTGAGTGTGACCGACACGCAACTCATCCAAAGCCTTCTCGTGCCGGACGGCGGCTTCGTTGAGCAGGTTCTCCGCATTCAGGAAGCTCTCTCGTTGCAGGTCCTCTCGGAGGTTCGTCAGCTCTTCCTCGTGGCTGAACAGGAGTTGCGTCCGTAGGCGCTCCAGCTCCGCTTCCTGCGACTCCGCCATCCGGTCCAGGACGGCGTCTTTCTCCCGTTCGAGCATCTCCAGCTTGATCTTGTAGTTGGTGATTTCGGACTCGTGTTTGGTTTCTGCTTCCACGGCGGCTTCCTGAGCAGCTGACAGCTCGTCCCTCAGAGCCTGGATGATCTCCTGGAGCTGCTGGGAAGTTTCCTGAGACGCTAGCCTGGTGGAGACCTGCTCCACGTGATGCCTAGCAGCATTTAGATCACCAACAAGACTCTCAACCTTGGACTGCAACTTCGACTTCTCTTGTGCGACTTGACTCAGCTCCCATCTGGTTTCATCGTACGTCGCTTTTAGAAGCTCGATCTCAGTCTGATGTTGCTCAGTCATCTGCTGCATTCTGGCTGCATGCTGCAAGTTGAGCTCCTGCTTCATCTGGACAATCTGCTGTCCGTACATTTCATCCAGTTCTGCCCTGAGAAGTTCCAGCTTCCTGGCGGTCTCTTCCTGCGTTTTTTGAAACTTGTCGCTCTCCGACATGCTCCCCTGGTGGCAGAGTTTCTGCAGATCTTCTACTGTTCCCATGAGCTGCATGATTTCACTGGATGACATCCGTTCTCTATGTCTGGAGTTTGCGAGTTCTCCTTTGCAGCTTTCTAACTCCTTTTGTTCCTTCTCTAGCTCCAGTTTGTAACTCTCCATTTCACTTTTGCAGGTTATTAATTCAGATTTTGTGCTTCCTAACTCAGTCAGGCACTTTTCAAGCTCAGATTCCTTTAAAGCGACTTGCAGCCGAAGCTCGTGCAGGTGTTTTTCGGAGTTTTCCAGCTCGTCTTTCAACCGGATAAGATCAGAGTCGCGTTCAGAAATGACCCTCTCCTTCTCTGCAATAACTGTGTCTTTGTCATCAGAGTCCTGAATGATTTTCTCATCTCTAGTCCTTCCTGCATGAACGACTTCCTGCCTGAGCAGCATCAATGCCTGCTCGTGTTCTTTGATTGTTGCACTTTGTTGTAAAATTAACTGATTTTTATCTTCTATTGTTTGTGCAAAGTCTTCCTCCGCTTGTCTTTGCGACTGCTCCCGACTCAGAATAACCTTGTCTTGCTCGGCGATCAGCAGCTCCTTTTCCTTTATCCTTTCTACGAACGATTCCTCCGATCTTCTCCCTGACTGAAGAGACATTCGGGTTCAGATTCACACACAAGCTAGTCGCTGCCAAGCTAGTCGGCATTAAGAGTATGGCGGTCCTCACCAGCTCCACCTCACTGAGCTTCTGCTGGAGGTGGCTGATGAGCTGCACCTGCTTGCTGCTCGTCTCCTGCTGCCCTTTGACCTCCGCACTCATCTCCTCCAGCTGCTGCTGGTACTGAACAAGCTGCTGCCTGGCCTGCAGGAGATCTGCTGCGGTGCTGCTGTGGCTGGTGTTCCTCAGCGCCTCGCCGGCCTGCAGCTGATGTGCAGAAAACGGCATAAAAACTTTTATTACCAATTATTATGTTGGAAACAGAAAACCAATTCCTCCCAGTTCGCTTTAATGAAAGACATTTTGTGACATTTAAACATTAAATATTTATTGAAGGAGAAATCTAACGTTTTTTTTACCCAACTTGGCAGAAATTTAAAAAGTTATTCCAACACTATTGCTTCTTCTTTTGTTTTTGAGAACACATTGTTATGCCATAGTGAAAGTAGAAAAAAAATTACATCTAATTAGAGAAATTAAAAACAAAAACAAAAGCATTTCCTACCTGTTGGAACTGGATCTGAAGTTTCTGGCTTTGCTCTGTCAGCGCCAGGAACTCTTTTGTGATTTCGTCCTTCTCCTCGCGAGCCTGCTGCAGGTTGGACGTGAGCTGGGTGATGATCCCGTCCCGCTGCTTCAGAGCAGCTTCAAAGTCCTGCAGCTGCACATTCAGAGTGGGTTTAATGCAAGTCATCATGGCAATTACAAAGACCACAAGAAAAAAAAAGGATCAATTTAATAAAACCGTAAGAAAGAGTTACTGCTTCTTACTGGCACAGTTCTTTACTGTAAACAGAACTGATTCTTTTTTTAAGCAAAAAGAATCAGCCAAATTCTGATTCATCTAAAACTACGAAAACCCATTATACTGTTTTGTTACATTATAATTAGGGCTGCAACTCATAATTATTTTAGTCATCAATTATTCTGATTGTTAATCGAATAAAATGCTGGCATGTATTTTGCTGATTTTCTTTCTTCCACATGAGCAACTTGACAAAACATTGACTAGAAATAATACTAAGAGTTACCAGTTTAACGAATACATTAGCATTTCAGCAAATTACAAAAGAGCTACAATATGAAAACATACAGTACAAACTGTCACCAATTTCTCTCTTTCTGCTAATTGAAAAATAATTTAGAAAAAAAAATTAAAAAATCCCTTACTCAGCCTGGCATTTTGTCATTTCAAAATTTTCACAAGTTTTTCTGATGATAATTTGTCCCAGAAGTTGTTGCAATAAATGATAATATAGTTCTTCTTGGATAATTTTCAAGTAATATAATGGTTATAGTCGCACAATAATGCAAGAATGCATTTTAAAGCATCAATAAACTTTAAATTCTCATGAACATTGAACACTGTAAGTGGAAGACATTTTAAATAGCCAAAATAAATAAGCAAAACAACAGAAAGTTGTCATAAAGCGAGTTATGAAGTCTCTCTAAACAAAATTGTCCTTCAAAAAGGGGCTGATTAAAACCAAAGCACCAGACTGAAGAGCTTATCACCCAGTTTTGGGTAGAAAGAGATAATAGAGACATGATTAGTCATCCAAATGGAAATTATTGAGTTTGTTTTAATTTATCATGCGACTGATTTAACGCTTAATGTGACAAGCCTTTCCTTTACCATTTACTCCCAGTGAAAATCCTTGTTTTTTTTGTTTTGTTTTTTAACAATTAGATAAACAAATGATGCAGCAAGAAGAAACAAAATGTGAAAGCCAAATAAAAACAAAACGAATGGAGATAATAATTTTGCATAATAACAATTCAAAGGAGCAGGTCAACATGCAGTCGACACCATTTACACGTAGCGTAGTCTTTCAAGCATTCAGGATAAAATGCTGTAAATCAAACCCAGAACAGCAGAAACATTTACCTGCTGCACACCATCGGCACCAAACGCTGACCTCATTTCCTCCAGCTCTCGACTCAACTCCTCCAGAGCTTGATTCTTGGCTGCTAGCGCGTCCTCCATGTCCTGGACCGTCCGTCCCTCTGTCGGCTGCTGCAGGGCCTCCACCTCCTCCTGAGCAGAAACAATATCAGAGCTTACACGGCTTTTAAAAGAGTCACTGAAAAAGGTTTAAAGACTAGAGAATTAACCAAGAACGTAGCCACAACCACACAGCAAAAGCAGTTTTGTTAGAAGAGCCCAAAGTTGGAGAGTAAGTATGGGTCATGTTTTCAGAGCTGGGTAGTAACTAGTTGCATTTGCTCAATTACATTTACCTGAGTAACTTTTTTGGAAAAAATTTTACTTTTGAGAGTACTTTTACAACTCTGTACTTTTACTTTTACTTAAGTAATTTTGTTATGAAGTATCTCTACTCTTACTTGCGTAAAATGTCTGGATTTTCTGCTGAATAAATAACAAACATAAGTTAACCAAAAATTTGCTTTTTATGTGGCCCTATAGATTCTAGACTAAACACCAAATGTGCTTAAATATTACGTTATCACTCAAATCAGTGCAGTTTTTATCTGTTATCAAATTATATCAATCAGTCCCTCCAGTTTCTTGCAAATTATTGTGGAAATTCACACAAAATCAACAAATTGCACTAATAATTGGGAGTTTATTGGAGATTTTCCTTAATTGTCAAAAACTTTCTTACTTGTACTAAACAGCTGCCTCAGCTTTAATTGATGTCAGATTATAGTCCGTTATGCATATAGCGAGTAATAAAAAGTCACATTTACAGACAAAAATAAGCGCAAATATTACTAATATTTCCAAATTAGTGCCACAAACACTTAGATTTTTATAGCAAAAAGAAATCACAAAAAAAATGTAAAATCATGTAAGGACTTTTGAATATGATTTAATTTTAAGAATGAATTGATATTTTAACAGTTTGTGAACGGATTTTATCAATACATTCTGGCACAACCTTTTAAGAGCATTCATGATCTTGATTTGGCCCAAAACGAAAATGATTTTGTCCTATTGTCTTTATAAATCCATCTGTCTCAGCAGTGGCTCTACGGAGAGCGGCTCCTTTTAGAAAACTTCCTGTTTTCTCTCCTCAAAGCAGACGCTTCCTCCTCATCACTCCCTCATTATTTCCTCCAGCAGTTTTCACAGATAATTCACACTTCTGCAATGTCACGAAGCCCTTTTCCATTATGACCTTCTGGAGCATTTTGACTTTTTAAAAACAATGATATTTCTTCACCACCGACAGAACAGGACAGGACGGAAAATACTAAATGTGTAAAGAGTACACAGCAGACGTGGTTAGTGAGAATCTTGCAGAAGACGTTAAGCATTTGGTTTGCTAGCGAAGCCAAAGCAGAGCTGCTTGATCAGATTACTGTACCCAGATAAAATCCTGTGAAGGCATCATTAGGCTCTCTGTCATCTCATGGAGGCAGCCATTTACCTGTTAATTCATAATGTGCTGCGTTAAACACTAAGATCTGGGAGGCTGCAACACAAACGCCTGCATCACGTCAGGAAAACACCTTTGAGCAGCTTTGTTGGAGTTAAAGACAGTTTAATAAATGTTAATGTTACATAGCTGGAGATAATTTTCGTGAAGTGTTGAATTTAAAAACTAAAACTACAATGAAGGTTTTCGCTGTTGATTTAGACTTTCTACTCATTTTAAAGCAGAGATAACCTGATATAATAAAAAAAAGTTAAATTCATATCACTTTTTTTGGAAACATTAACTCACTTCTGAGGAATAATCTTCCGCTGTGGTGGAAACTTCGCTTTCAGGCTGCAGGAGAAAAAACAAAGATGCATCAATAAAATAAAATAAAAGATTGAAAAATTAAGACCTATGTCAGGAATGAGACAAATTAATGAAATAGGCTGAGGCAAAAAGACAGCAGTGGCTGCTTTATTTTGGGGAATTTACATTACAAAACAAGGAAACTAAAGAAAATGCTATTTTACAAACCAAAACCATAAATTGCTTACCCCATCACTACTATTTGAAAAAGTTATTTATTTTAATAATTAATTTCAAAAGGTGAACCCAGGTCAACAGTCTGATTAAACAAACCGTGATTTATTTAAAGCATTTCTTTCTGTTAATTTTGAGGCTTCCAGTTAATGAGAAACACAAATTTGATTTCTCCAAAAATTATTACTGAAAGTAAATAAATAAAGAATTGTTAATCTGTTCACCTGTGCAGAAAAAAGTCAGAGACTCTCCAAAAGGAAGATAACTAACAAAAGATTACTGCCAAAGAAGCTGGTTATTCAAGGGTATTCAAGGAAAGTTGAGTGGAAGGTAAAAGTGCAGTGTAAAATATGTCTGCAAGACAATGTCGATATCAGGTGTGATATATGCCTGTTTTATTTTTTCCTCCGATTCTGATCTATGGAGCATTTTTGTCATTTGTGTCCACACTGTAAAACATTTGTCGTGTCTACTACTTTCTACTCTTTAAGTCAAATAAATTTAGAGTTTTAGATTTTGAATTTGAGTTTGTGAAAGATAAACTTAAAGCAGTAAGTTTTGTGAGGGAGGTTTTTTTCCTACATAATTATTTGGTTTAAATTGCAGCATTAAGTTAAAACTCACAATTCAAGATTAATGAACTTAAAAAACACAATGCTTAGACAACTTGACTCTTGCTGGCTAAATATTGCATCAGTATGAAAAATAACACACAAGAACTCTTGAAAAATATCAGAGAATTATTACTGGACTCTGATATAAATACTGTCCATACTGATAATATTTGCGTAATGTTCGAGTATAACTTCAGCCTCGAGAGAATTCTGAAATAAATGTTTAAATTGGTCTTATCTAATATTCTGAATTATTGGTTCTCTTTTGCTGTAAGCCATAATCATAAAAATTAATGGAAATAAAACACTTGAAATGTAATACTTTGTTTAATGAATCTATAAAAACACCCATGTTTCACTTTTCAAATAAATTACAGAAACGAATAGACTTTTCAATGATATGTGAAAATAATTCAGGACGCTGTCCTTGAGGTAAAACATAGTTACCTTGAAGTAGCTTTCAAAAGACTCATTTTGTTGCATTTTCCTTTTGTTGCTCAAGAGCAAAATGACGATTTCATTTAGAATACGTCTTCATTTGAATGACCTAGAGCAGAAAACTGCCCAAGGAAAAACTGGCTTCATTTACTTGTGATGCAGAACAGATCTCATTCAGGCAGCAGTAATTTATAATTTGCCCATAAAAATAATAAAAAAAATAAAAACCCAGAAGCTCTGTGTACATAATAATACACTCCATCAACCTTTAGATCTTCTGAAATCCACTGCAAGGCCATAGAAATCGGTCACACAGACTGACATCCCAACAAGTTTAAAGGCAATTGTCTGTCTCCATAGCAGCCAAGTAGCTTTGTGGGTTCATAGAGAAGAGTGGCAACACAGGGCCGAGCAAAAGAGACGGAGAGGGCTTGAAAGACGGAACAAATTGTACAAGAGCTCTCAGCTCTGCATGTTTTTAAACCATTCTCTGATGAGATGTAATCAGTGGTAATTTATCCATCAGAAAATCCTGGATTAAATGTCTAGGTGCTGCTGTTTCAATCATCTTTTCTCTAAAGAAAGGTTGGAATGACTGTGCTGTATGTTGATTTAATGAACAGCAGGAGGTGGTTATGTAAAACCAGCAGAATGCATCAATACTGAGGTTGTGGTAAAGAAAATAATGGCATCCCACATAAACCACAACCCTCTTTTAGATCAGCGTCATCTACATGCATTTAAACGTGAAAAAGACATGCTTTAATGTGCTTTTTGATTCAGTTTTAGTTCCTAATGTGGCTGTTATGCAGAAAGGGCAAATAAAGAGACACAAAAAGTGAATTTATACCTATGAGAAAAACAAAACTGCTGCTTCCTCCTAAACAACCCGCCAACACACGTGTGCTCATATTCATCCTATAGAGTTAGTTTGTTTTCCGCCCACATCTTTTGACCAAGCAGCCAAACAAACAACCTTAATATTTCTGTCATTTTCAGCCAAAGAAAAGGTTGGTTTACTACTAAATAAGAAAAAAAAATGGTGCATTCTACAGATTTTTTCTTTAACTTTTTCATACGTTATTAGAAATACATTCATGTTAATAATTTAAAATGAGAAAACAAACATTGTATTGCCTGAAATGCAGTAGCATAGCACTCTTTTGGCAAATTTGAACCAGGTGAAGCTAAAACAGGAGATTTGGCTAAAACATTTACAGACAAGTTTTTAATGACCCTAAATGCTAAATGTATGTTTATTTTTGTGCTAAATTACTGATCTAAATATGTTGTTTTTTTTAGAAAACTTCAGGTAATAATCAGTTACTAAATTAGTTGATTATTTTAATAATTATTTCAAGTGTTTTGTGTAAAAAAAAATCTAATTTACAGTATTTGACATTGTGAAACTTAGTCAGCAATGCTCCTATTTGCAGGTAATCTGTGACTTTTTATTCAACAATCACTGCCCATTTTCATCCAAAAGTGTTGGAAAACTGTATCATGAGCCATTTACATTACTTTGTTAGTCTAAAAAAACCTTAGGCTTTCCAATTTTTTCAAATATAATGATTGTGAAAGGGAGACTGTGTTGACTGATGCAGTTGTTATATGATTTGAGCAATGGCATTAAATTTTCACTGTTCACAGCAAAGCATCAAGTTGAAGGAGGAACAAAACTTTTTGCAAATTTTCTACTTACAAAAATGAGTGGAGTTGTGCCAAAATTACATAAAAAATGCTAACAAGTCATATTAAAACAGAGTAGACCGATTTGTTCAAATACATCTTTTGGAAAGAAAGATGCTTTCATATTTTGAAATGTAACAAGCACAAACTTTGATGTATGTTTTTTTGTGTTTACGGTTAGACCAACATAAAGTATTGCATTATTTTGAAGTGGATTGAAAATGATCATGCATGAGTTTTCAAATTCCTCCCTCCGCCCCCCCAAGGAAAAAAAAAAATCTGAAAAGTGTGGTGTGCATTTATTTTCAACCTCCCTGAATAAATACATCATAAAAACAACAATGTCTACCAGCTGTACACATCTAAACACGTTTTTTGCACACGGATGATTGGACTTGAACAGCTCCAAATAGAAATGTGAACATCAGTGTTCAAGTCTTGCCAAACATGTTCAAGAAGACTTTGACTGGGCCATTTTAGGAGGACTATGTTACAATATCAGTTTTAAAAATGTTAAATATAAATTCATGGCACACTTTTAAAACTTCTTTCATTAGAGATATTTGACAACAATACATATTTTTCTGATTAACTTCAAAATTATGTGTTACTTTGGTCTTGCATATAAAGTTCTATTAAAATGCATTAACGTTTGGTTGCAACATTACATGAAAATGCTTAAGAGAATGAATACTTTGCAAAACAAACCTAAAAAGATTGACAATTTTAGAAAAATGAAAGTTGGTACTTCAAAGTTAAGCATAGAGAGTGAGCGTTGCTGTGTTGAGTATTGTATGAAATAAATGTGTGTACCTCTATCTTGTAGGTCTGGTCATGCCTGACCGTCTCTCCGCTCTTCAGCGTCTTGGTGAAGGTGAACTCTGTGGTGGGTGTTTCCTCACTCCCTTCATCTCGTCTTTCACCCTTGACCTCTCGTTCTCCTTCTCCACCCACAAACTGATCCGGCTCGACCTCCACCCTTCCCTGCGATTCTGCCTCCGAATCCTCGGCCGGCTTCTTTTTCTTCTTCTTCTTCTGCTTCTTCTGGGAGTCTGCATGAGCTTTTCTCTGGCGGTACTCAGCCAACTGCAGCGAGAGGAAGTCAAATATGCTCAGTTAAAGTCAGAGGTGACATGAGAAAAGAAATAAAAGTAAAAGATTTCTTTTCATTTTTACTATATTGTTTCCGCTGTCATTTAGAAGCTTGTCTGACCCATTTGTTTGGTCAAGATCCACGCCTTTCTTTCCAAGAAACTCCACTAAACAATACTTTTAGCAAAAAATAAACAACATATAAACTTACTCTGAATCGACACAGTTTGGTGATAGTCAAACGAAACATTTTACGGCCCAAATACGCCTCCTGCCCTGCTACCAATGAGTCCTCCCTCCTTGTGTCCATATGACCCAACACACGCCTCGTACTGCAACAGGTGCTAATCCCGACTAAAGGGATTGCTTTTTTAAACTACAGTATGTCATTTATCCGGGAAAACACACAGTCATGCTTTCCAGACTGGAAATCTTTGATATTTGTTCCTGCAGCCGACTTGCACAATAACACATTGACTGAAGATGAAAATATTTGATGTTTGTTTGTTAGTCTTTCTCATTTTGGTTAGTTTAGTACAAATAACAAATAGCACTAATTTTATTCTCAGGAATAGATGTACAGCTCTGGAAAAAATGAAGAGCCCACTGCACTGAACCCCATTGAAAACCTCCTGGTTATTCCACAAAATATTGATCTCTGAACTCTTCCTGAGTTAAAACATTAGTATTGTTGTTTCTAAATGAATATAAACTTGTATTCTTTGGATTATTTGAGGTTTGAAAGCACTGCATCTTTTTGTTATTTTGACCATTTCTCATTTTCTGGAAATAAATACTAAATGTTTGCTTGGAATTTCAGAGACATGTTGTCAGTAATTCATAGACTAAAAGAACAATGTTCATTTTACTATACTTTTACTTTTTATCTTGCTGACCCACTGTAACAAAGACAGCAAGTCAAGGGTCAAAGGTCAGTTTCAGGTCAGTAACCTTATTTGGCTTGAGGAAACTTCCTTCCAGAACTGTGCTGAAGCAGAGCGTGTTTGAAACATGGATATTAAAGTGCCGCTATCACCACTACTCTGATTCACACAGGTGAACTACATAAACAGATAATAAAAACAATGATGATCTGCATACCGAGATATTTTTACATATTTGTATATTTAAAAAAAAATAAAAACTTAAACAAATAATTTATTTTTATCCATAATGTCCTGAGTACAATGTCAAACATAAGGCTGCTTTTCCACCATTTCATCTAGACATTAGCCAATTAGAACATGAGCAGCAGTTGGCAGCAGCCACAGACCTGTGTCTGAATGGACCTTCTGCCACAGATCAGTTTCATCCCACACTAGCACCTCATCACCTGCCTGTAAAACGCCCCTGCTACCATATGACACACAGCAGACGTCATGCATCTTCAGAGACAGGTGCACCTCCATTGCGTTTGTGTGCTTCTTCACAGGACAGATGGTTAATAGCAGCCAAGGTACAAACATGTCCCAATTAAATCGGCTGCATCAGCTGGCAGTAAAGAAAAACGTCCAACCTGAAGGAAATTTAATGTTTAAAGCAGATTTTTAGGTCAGTTGATGTGTGTGTGTGTGTGTGTGTGTGTGTGTGTGTATATATATAAACAACAAAATCTGGTTCTATTTGCTGAACTCTCTCAAAATAAATTACTATCAGGAGAGCAGCTAAAAAGTAACATAATTCAAGGTATTTTTAATAGCTAGCTTGTACATTGATGTAAGAAATTTCAAAAACCTTGGCCTTGAAGGCTCAGATTAGGTCTAGGTAAGAAAGTAATATAACAAAGAAAGATTGTACAGGATAAAGACGCATTAAATAGCATAAAAAACACCCAAAAAAGCATAACATTTTAATCTAACTGGGCCAACCTTAAAAATGTGTTTTTGATCATAACCTGTGAGAACTGCATGGCTTTGACACAAAACATCTTATTCATAACTATTCATACAGTCAAAGAATTGACGTGTCAGTCAAACGCTGACAAATCTGATACTTTTCCTGTTCTTAAATGCATCAAAACTAAAAACTCCCACTTCTGTCAGTCTGTAAATGCATCACATGCGCTCTGGTTTGACTTTGGTATAAATCAGATAATGGTTGGCGACATTTTGGTTTTGATGCATAAATAAGGGTAGCTGTGTAATCCCTTCATCTTTTTTGTTGGATTCAAAACTACTACTTTGATTGAGGAAACTGCACCCAGAAGCACCAATTTTATTTCCAAATGCCGAATGTTTTTTTTTTTTATTATTTATTTTTTTAATTTAAACCAAATCTATGCCTTAAGTTTGAAAAAATAAAATAAAATCAAAATCAAAACCAGGTTGTTGTCAGCTGGTAAAACAGAAATCAATTTAGGATAGTAAGAGTCTAAACTGTCCTACATACATTTCTGCTAATCAATACAAACACCAATACTATCTGTGAAACCATCCTTTCCCTGTGTCCTCTGGTATGCAGCCCTGATAAAACAAAGCAAGAAAACGCTCTTATCTTCTGACAATCTCATAGTTTAGCCTTCTATTTAACCTCACACAAGAGTTCAAAGAACAAAGGAAAAGAATGAGAGAGGCGTAATAAACTGACCATACTGAATTCACAAAAATATCCCTTAGTCCAGAGGTCTGCAACCTTTATAATGTAGAGTAAGTTTGTACTCATCAGGCCAGGCCAAAAAAAAAAAAAAAGAAAAAAGAAAAACTTGTTTAGAGCCACAGATATCACATGACTTCTTTTGGGAGAAAAAAAAGTAGAAATTTAGATCAATATCTACTTTAGGAAAGTTGTTGTAATTTTTAAAGAACAGTCATTTTATCTCCAGGATGGATAACTTTTTTTTTTCCTCTGGGTTGGAAAATTATTTTTAAAAAGCACATAGATTCCAACCCAATGACACCTAATGACAAGAAAAACACATAAAAGTATAATACTGGTACTCTCAGTATCATTCCTTGTAGAAATTCAACACAAATATTTCAGGATATAATGAAAAACAGCTAAAATCTTGTATTTGTTATATTTAAAACTTTAGCTGGTTCTATTATTAGGAGTCATTATGGTTGGCTCAAGGAGCAACAGATTACAGACTTAGCCTGCCCAAGTCCTTTCCTAATCTAAAATTTATTTTTAAGATATTTCCTCATATGTTTTCTTGGCTAATTTTGGCATACTGTTGTAATTTTGATGACAGTATTGTGTCAAATTTCACTGGTAAACTCGTCCATTACTTTGCAATACCCAGACCTGCACAGCATTCTGGGGGATGTAGGCAGAGGAACGATTTTAGCCACTCAACCTCTCACAGGTGGCTAAAGCAAACTAGGTGGAATCGACTAACTGACTCACTCTTTGGTAACTTAGCAACTCACTCACTATTTGGTTACCTAGCAACAACCTGTTGAGTAACTGCTGCAGTGGCAGTTTCCTCACCGTGCCTCATAAATGTTTGAAAATAAAAACAGCTTTGTGGAGTAAAAACTATGGATAAAACAGCCATGTCACCAGTTTGGCTGTATTTCAGAAATTGAAAACAAAAAACTAATCAGTTATTATCGATAGACTAATATGAAACCCTTATATCGTGATAGGCTTTACAGCCATATCATCCAGCATTAACCAATATTAGACACATTAAATAGATTTATCTACCGTTTTGAAACTTTTGAAAAAAGGAATTACCAGAAAAAGATGACAAAAAGATGACAATAAATATCAGTTGTTCATATTGGCCCAATTCCAATATGCTAAAATAATGACTTATATCAGCCAATACCGATGTTAGTGTCGATATATTGTGTATCCGTAATCATGGAGAGAGATACAGAGTTACAGGGTCAAGTAAAAGAAAGCAGAATCATAATCTGATGTGGAGTTGGGATAATTTATCCAAACTTGAAGTACTTCGTAATCTTCTCTCAAATATTTCTGCATAAAAGCCTTATAAACCACAAGCAAACATTGTGAGTCATTAGTAAACTCACGGTTCAGTGTACTCATCGGCTCAAACTAAGACAAGTGTCACCGATTTTATGAACAGCAGCAGCTAAACCCTGATGAAAGCTCCCAGTGTTTGCCGATGCTGTAAAAAAGGGTCAGAGGCTGAAAACGACAGAGCTGAGAGTAGGTGTCATGGTCGTGTTCCCACCTACTATTCACAGCTTAAAAAGCTCAAAGTGTTCTTGATCTGAGCCTCCGCAGCTCCTCACATGACCCGCCCTCGTCCAAATATACCCACTTATCTGTATTTTAGGAGCAGCTTTATCCATCTAAAACCTGAGCACAGAAATAAATGTAATCGACTGATGAGCCAACAGGACTGGAGCATCTCTGAGAAGGAGGCAGTCTTCGGTTCTGACTTTATAAGAATAACACATGAGTAGCAGCAAACCTGCCAGCAGGAATCACCCAGGGTTCTGCCTTTTGCGGAGATGCTTAGCACTGCAAGCTGCCCTATTTGGCACAGCTGCTGGCTGAGCATATGGAGACTCAAAGCCTGGGTAGCTGCACCACCATCTGGGTAAACAGAAACTACGTAGGTGTACCACCATCTGCTGTCTGAAAGCATGTACACAGGTCTTTCCTGCATATCTGAGCCTCATGGTGACAGAAAAACAGAGACTATAAACAGCAGCCAGTTTGATTCTTTAGAAGACCAGAGCAACTATATTAGCTATGGAATACTATTTTGCTTATCTAAATAAGTACACATAACAGAAATACTAATATCGGATATTGATATCAACCCAAATTAGGGATAGATCCCTAATTTGACTTGACAATAGGGCAGGACAATAAATCAATAACATATGTGGCGATAGATATGTGATCAATATCAATAGATAGCACATCTGATAGATTATTCAATGTGCTAGAATATTTACTGAACTCCGATCCAAAGTTGGTGGAATCAACTAACTCACTCACTCTTTGGTAACCTAGCAACTCAGACACTCTGTGGTTACCTAGCAACAATCTGTTGAGTAGCTGGCGCAGCAGCAGTTTAAAAGTTTCACCACTTTGCCTTGTAGCTGCTTAAAAATAAACAACATGGAATGAAGACTGTAGATAAAAGAGGAAAGATTATGCCACCAGTTTGGCAGAACTACAGATATTTAAACAAAAAAACAAAAAAAATCAATAATTACTGATAGAATGATATGAAACGCTTTTATTGCGATACGTTTTTCAGCCATATCGTTAAGCCCTACTTGACAACCACACTAATTTGGAGTCGTCACAAGACAGACATATTTTGTTTTATTTTATTGTCGGCTTGTTTCTATGAAGCCATGATGCTATTAATGTGAAGTATCCGTGATTACATTTACATAAAACATTTCTAGTCAATATGGCATAATAAACTCTAATAGCTCCTATAAACCAAGCTGACACTAGAAATTAGTGGTGATGGGAGGAAAAATATCCACTTAAATATGGAATGTTTGTATAATATATGTGTGCAAATTAACATTGTTTACCAGAATAAAATAAAGCAGAGAAGACTAAATGTACCAAGAATATGGAGCAAGTGAGAAATGGAGCTGAAGACTCCGTCATCCCCCATCAACAACTGCTGAGTGCAGAGAGAAACACAGAAAGGTCTTGAGGCTTCCCTTTCAATGAACCAACCCAGAAAGATCAATGCTGTGCACAAGATCCACTCAACGGGGAGAGAATGTTTAAAAGCAGAAACCCGCTCGGATCCGTCTTCAATGGATTTGTTGCAGTTTTCATGCTTTGAGCAAAACAAGAAGCATGTTTTGATTTGCTGAAGTGCACGGCCAGCATGTAAAGCTTCCCAAATCCTCACCGCAACTGACTCGAACCTTTTTGTGAACAGAAAGTTTTGGTGCAAAACGCAAACCCATTAAAATTTCGCAGTTCCAGAAAAAGAAAGAACATTTTACAAGGAAAACTCAAATCCCCAAAGCCCCATAAATGGAACGATATAAATTCATTATTTATCAATGAGGTGTGCAAGTGTTGATCTTTTGGTGTGGCTAACTTACTGATGAGATGATGAGATGTGACCAACATAAAGTGATGAGTAAATGGAAACAGGCAGAAAACTGATACATGATTTTTAAACGCTTTTACTAAATAATATTTAGGAATGCATCAATGTGAAAATTTGGGCCGATATCGATATCTGATATTGCTGTTATGGCCGATAATCAATATTTACCAATATTATATATATATATTTCGCTACCATTTTTGACACCTTTGGGGAAATCCCCCACCAGAAACAGATACTGGTACAAATAAATACTGGTTGTTCATATTGGCCTGGTTTTATTTATAGGACAGATATCAATATGTTAAAAAATTACAAATATCAGCCGATACCGATGTTATTGTGCATCTCTAATAATATTCTGTGTGCACTTTTATTCAGACCTGTGACTACTTAGTACAGACATTTTCAAGTTTACACACCCAGCACATCGTGGAGGCAATCAATAAAAAATTGAAAAATAAAACATTTTCTGATTATCAGGTCTTACGTGGACACTGAACTCATTGCATTTTGTTGATCGGGAACAGACAGCGAGTTGAAAAGCTAAGGACAAAACGATAATTTATTTATAGTATAAATAGAGTAGTAGGTTGTTTACCTTGTTGTGAAAAGAAAGACAGTAAAGTGCAGAAGTTAATTAGACTGTAACAAGCGCAGGAGACTGCACAATTATGTGCCCGGGCCCCGTCCTGCTCCACTCCTATCAATCACACATCCCAGATTATTTGTACCCGACTTACCCTGTGGTTACAACAAGCAACAAGATGCAGCTGGAATGGGTTAAAAATACAAAATCATGCCACACTTTACAGATTATTATTTGTAAAACCACTGTAAAAACTACGCTAAATTTTTATTCTTCACTTCCACATGTTAGTCCATCATGCCCTGAACACTTCAGCCAGGCACAATAGCTAAACTAGGCATCTTCCACACCATGACATCCAAACTGTTTGTGATTTAACCCATTTTAAGCAACACAGCATGACCCAGCACAAGTATCTATCATTACTCTGAGCTTGTGCCTCTGCATCATAAAAATAAAACCCTCCAGAGTCAATTAAGCCAATTAATCAGCTACGTAATCTGTGCCAGTTATAGGCTGGTTGTCGCACAGAGACATGCAGGACGCGTCCAGCTGAGCGATTAAGGTCCAAGTTAAGAAGATCAGCTAAAACCGGCAGCAGTGCCTAACAGAGAAACTGACCCTTTAGGCTAACTGAATCCTGAGAAAGATTACTATAGTGGAAAGACGCTCTATAAAAATGACTTCTTCTACCTTCATTTTTGATGTAGCCTGATAGATAGATGTTTGTACTGGCCATAAAGGATCTACATGAATAAAAGAACAAAGACTGAGGTGAAATGACAGTGAAAGTTTCATTTTTCTAGGAGGTTTAAGATGACTACACTGATCAACTATCAGTTACTGATAGTAAAACACTTGTCAATATGTTTGATTTTGAAGCCAAACTAAAGATGAAGAAAATTCTTCCATTCTGGAACAAAACTATGGCAACAGCAGCCCACAATTTCCACTTTCCCTATTGTCTGGCATGACTCAAAAGCTCATGCCTGATTCTGCACAATGCATCACTGACAGCTCGCACTTCAGTCAGACAACAAAAACTCGTCTTTCACTCCATTTGACAAAAATCCAGTCACCCAATCTGATTGTTAGAGAGGAAAAGCTCAGGTCGCACCTTTATCTCCAGACTAACATTCAGATAAAATCCTGCTTCATTTCTGAGACAATATAAATGCAGCATCAGATTTTTATCTAAGCCTGCAAGGACTCATCTGACAAGAATCTCAAATAATAACACCCTTGATTTCTTTACTGCATGTGAGGACATGGTGACATGGAACTGGGAGGAAAAAAACAGCAGGCAGACTAGTCTACAGCAGCAAAGAGCCTTTTACAAGCCAAAATACCAGAGTGAAAACCAGGGGGATGGTCTCTGCAAACTTCTGTCGGACAAAACTCACTGTGATTTTCTAAATATGTTTAGTAAATAACAATCAGAAACAGATTTCCAGTAGCACTACACTTTACCAAGATGCATTAACTTTAAATAAAACAACCAAGGCTTCGCACTATATGTGCAAAGATTTAAAATGTGCAACAAGATTTAATTTGCCCTACTTAAACAAAAAACAAAACTTATACCTATTGCTGTAAAACATAAAAAACAGTTCTACTTATGTTACATTTCTAATTATTATTTAGATTCTGATAGTGAAACTGCAGCAAAAATATAGACTATAACAACTAAATTTAGTTTTTAACTGCTTCTTCAGAGTAATATAGCTTTTTTTAGGTTATAAAAATCTGTTGTTACTTGATTAATTGGTTGGATACTTGTGTATAGCACCCTAATAGTCGTTTTAAAACAGTACCGGGTGGTGCTCCTTCGGTTTCCATGGATACAACTTCCTATGTTTTCTGCAAGCAAAACAGTAATATTTGTTCTTTTTGTAGCTGACTGGAGAACATGTAGCAAACTTGTTTCAGCCAGCTGAACTGCAGTAGCCAATGCTTACATAGTAATAGTTTTGTGTTCACAGAGGCAGTGGTGATATCCAACTCTGTAATCACATGCTACTGAGTGTAACATTACCTCTGTCCATCATAGATGTATCAAATTGTGCAGCAACTCTAGCAGCTCTTAAAAGCCCCTGATTTAGTATTTATGGACATATATTGACAAAAGTGACACATGAGCTCATTGCCTGCAGAGATTCAGCAAAGACAAACAGCCACTCAAAACAGAGTGAGCTGGTTTTTGAGTTTACAGCTACTGGTAGATAAAAAAAAACAACATACAAACTCATCCAGTTTAACAAGTACTCCCTTCTTTTCTCAGCAAATATTTTACTTTATGAGCACAGCATAGAGCCTCTTCTGGCGTATTCCTGTTGCTTAAACCAATACAAGTCATCTCTGGCAAGTGAAGCAATGCTTTACCTAGCTAGTGAGGATATACCCTGTAAATCCTGTTACACCAGCCTCTGAGTGTCACTTCAGGTGCCGTTTATAAGCTCTAAATAATGATGCGACGGCTAGACTTGTGCGAGAATTAGCCGATACTTCTTTCGATACGGAAAAAGAAAAAAGAAAGCAGTGTAGGGGGAAAAATGTCAGATATGCAGCATGACAAAGGCAGCCTTGGCTAGCAGTAGCAGCGGCTAACCCCCTCCTCCCTCCCTCTCAGCTGTCAGACAGACACGGCGCATGACAGCTGGGAAGGTGGTATGAAGGGGAGGGGGTTGGGGTCAAAACAGCTGACGGACATAACCACAGAAAAACAACTCCACCGGAACAATATGCTGTAACTTTGGACCACTCAGAGGACGTTAGGGAGTCTTGAATCCTACCTTAGCCTTGCCGGCCTCTAGCTTCTTCTGCCTCTCCTCGTCCTCCATTCCCGCTGACTCCGAGACTGAAACAAGAAAACTGCTTCATAAGAAATATCCAGGAGGAAAAGGAAGTCTCACAGCGGAAAGCGGACTATCTCTCCAATGCCGTGATTCCCAATCACTGGCTATCCCCTTGATTGTAGTCCGCCGCCATATTTTCCACGTAAACATGAGACTCAACTGTGATGACGTAGGGTAGGTGCATTTATAGCCACGCCCACTGGTGCTATCGGTATGGCAAGTAGTTTTGTCGTATAGTAATTTCTTAAAAACATGAAGCCTCTTGCACTGATTGCACGTTTTAGCCCGTTCATGCATGAATTATAATCCTTTATGACAGGATTTTTTTTTCAAAGTGTTTTTGACTTTCTTGAGGCATAAAAAAAACTTGGAGAAAAAAGTTTCCACTTGTTTCCAACTGTTTCCAGTTGTAATTTTCTCCAAATACAAGTATTAGTCTTTAGGAGTTACTTGATGTCACAATATGTTTTTTACATGCAAGAGCTTTCTGCAATAGGAGGAGAATATTCCTGAGTTGCTTTTTTCATCTGTCTGCCATTTTGGATTAACAATGATTTTGTTGTTAAATGGATGGCCAGTAGTTTATAGTGTATTATATGATGCACTAGTGTCCATCCCAGTGGTCCGTGTGCATTTATAACATTAAAATCCACAAGAAACACAAGAAAATGTCTTTTAGATAGCTGTCCACTGCAGTGAGCGCTATGCATGAAAGGGTTAAATTCGGAGAATATGGCTTTTTGCCTAGGGCACAACTGTGTCAGAGGGCAACACAAGCACGCCAAGATAATATTTAAAAAATATCAGTTAAATACTCCATAAACAAATTTTCTTTTTTATTGAATTTACTTACCAATTTAATTAAGAACAATGTAACAGTGCTATTTTCCCTTTTTTTTTTCTTTTTTTTTGTAATCTGGACTGCATTTTATCAGCTCAGTTTTAAACATCTAGACTCATCCAACTTGGACTGAAAACTACTTTTAACATACTCTTGTAGGGCTCTCAGATTTTCTGATTCAAGTTTACTCTGGATCACCAGAATCAGAGCCAAACATGGAGAAGCAGCAGTCAGTTTTTAATCTAGAACAATTTCCAGAAAATTGCAAAAATGCTGAAATCCTGAATTCTTTTAAATCAAGATAAAAAAAATATTAGTTGTCTTTGATTATTGTTACCTGAAATATCACTAACTCTAGTCAGTATTCCAACCTTTCTTTACCTTTCTTCATTATACCATTGCAATGTAATGTTTTGTTTGTTGTATTGCTGAAATGTTCTGTAGCATTACAAACATGAAAAGAAGTTTATTGTATTTGTGAAAGCAATAAAATAATTTTATTCTTTTCTGGCATCAAGACAACATAGACCTAAAAAAAACTAAATTAAAAATGGCACCATATGAATTTGGTGAAATCTGCACTGAATTATTCTATAGTTTTCCAGATTAAAGAGAGTTTGGTGTTGTGGAATGTTTCAGTAAGATCAAACTATCTTTGAGATTTCTACTTTTATCTAAGAAAATATATATAACGAAATAATTGTTGATAGTCCGTTGGTGAAAAGCCTTAAAATGAATTCATATTTTATCATCTTCAACATTTCAGGAAGTCAGAGCATTAAACTCTCTTTAATCTGGAAAAGTGTAGAATAATTCAGTGCAGATTTCACCAAATTTATAAGATGACATTTTTATTGAATTTTTTTTTATCAATGTTGTCTTGATGCCAGAAAAGCATAAAATTATTCCCTATTTTCCACACATATAATAAACTCCGTTCATGTTTTTAAAGCAAGGCAAGTTTGAAGTAAATAAAACAGTATTTAAAAACATTAACTAATGGAACCCAGAAGGGGGATAGTCTATTTTCTCTGCAATATATCTTAAATAGATATACAATTTACCAGTCGGTTTTTTGTGTGTGTGTGTGTGTGTGTGAATATCTTATTTTAATAAATGTAGCTTGGTGATCAAACAGTTGGTATTTTAATGAGTAGCAAAACTCCATCTCCCCTTTTAAATATAAAAATTGCATCAACACACACCCATTTTGTCATGAAACATGCAATTAGCAGTAAAGTCGATTAATGACAACGACATGTCTGACTGTGATTCTCCGGCTTTGACTCCAGTATCTGCAGCATGAATTCCTCTGTCTAGTTTCTATGGCGATGGGAGGAGAGGCCGCCAGAGCTGTCCCATCTGAGCTTTCATTTTAGGCAACATTATCTCATTTTAACATTAGCTGGTAAACAACTGGTAATTACCTCGTATTTTGTATGAAGATAGACTAACCCTGAGCTCATTTCTGATGAAAAAAGAGCAACATCCTCCCCAAAGAAGGAGTCATTAAAGGTGCCGTGGCTAAAAGCCTGCAGGTAACCTGAGAGACTGGCATCAGTTTCTACAACAGATGGGAGTGATACAGGAAAAGACCGTCAGCATTTTCTCTAACAGACTCCAAATTAGGTAAATGTTAGAATAATTAGATTATGTTTTACAATTAAAAGCAGGTTTCATTATTTTGAAGATGATTTTGGGAGATGTGGGTTGCAGTTGTTTGGAAAAAAATAATGGGAACTTTTGCAAGCATTTTTCAAACATGGTGGTTTATTTTTTACTAATGTGAAACATAGCTGACCTACGTATACATTAAAAAACTAAAAATATACGTTAATTGATTATTTTAAAAACTAAATAAACATTCACACTACCTCATTTGTCACTTATTTCTTGCTCAGGTGTATAGAAAACAGTGCTAATTTTTTATATTATCTTTTACATGCTTTATATTGTTGCAACCCCCAATGTTTACAGAAACACTGATATCTAGCTGGTAAATTTACGAATAAGAAAAAAAAAGAGAACTATGAGAATACACAGTTGTTACTTTAATACAAATACAAAGTTTCATTCTGTTTTGAGACGTACCTGCAGTGGCTGCAGTGGCAGCTGGAGAGGACTCTCTGCGTCTTCGGCTGACCGGCGCTGAACAACTTATAGTCTGGCAGATCTTGAATTCCACCCATCGTCTTTTGGACATTTTTTTATCCGTACACTCCCACCTGGGGACACCTGCTGCTGGAGCAACAGCATCTGCGAGTAACCACCAGCATCTGAAAGTTTCGACACTTCTTAAATTATTCAGTCGCTCCGGTTGTGTTCTGTGTCTGCAGTTACCCAAGCAACTTTACAAAAAGGACCTCAACAAACGGATCAAGGCGGAAGTCGATGTAATATTAAAACCATGTTGCTCACAAATTCATGCATGACCTAATTTACATCTTTAAGGAACAAAAGTCAGAAGAGCATCAGAGGAAGTAAGAGAAATATCAAACCTCTGAAAGAGTTCAATTAAATTATTTTTTACATAATATTAGTCCAATAAATTTGCTTAAAATGTAAACTAATTTGACATATTTGACTAAAATCATTTGGTGGGTAAACAGCAAGGTGTGTTTGAAATTTAAACTATTACCCCAACTTTTCAGTCTAATGCCAAAGTTTTTCTGCATACAGTTTTAATTAAATTAAAATAGGTAAGCGCATATTGACACCTCTTTTAGTTTTCCAAGGAGTTAATAATTTTATTTAAAAAATACAGTTGATTGATTGATTGGTTTCCAATTTCACAAGAGCAAATAACTAACTAGCATTAGCTTTAGTTGCCTTAAATTTTGCTAATATGCTCAATTTGTATTACAACATGTGAAAACAGATCATAATTGAGCTTCAAGTTTACATAAAACATGAAAGAAGCAGGATTATCTCTCACAATAATGGACACTGTCTGAACTGTTCATGCCAGAAACAAAATGCTGCTTTCTAGGCTGGTAGTGCAGAAGAGGTTGTGACTGAAACTTGGGTCACTTCAGTAGCAGAGCAGCAAAGTGGACGCATAATGTAGCCATCTTTCACTGTGCTGTAAAATATTCATAAGTGGTGGGACTCTTCAGTAAGAGAGGGAGTCGAGTCAATAGGTTTTTCAGCTGCGAACTGCAGCACAATGCTTTCTGATGTGGCTGAAATGAATCAAGCTAGTAATACCTAAAACTGGGGCTTTGATGTTGCTCGTGTGAAATCAAAATACAACTGAAATTTGATTTAAAATTAAAAGAAAAAGTGAGGTTTCAAGCAAATTGCACATATATAAAATAAATAGCACATATAAAGTGGGATGGACTGATTTTGTTCAAATAAAAAAAACCCCACAAATTCTAGAGAGATTTACAAAATGTTCTAAAATCTTTTTTTATCTGTAAAAAACATGAAGAATGTTCAAAGCTGTCATTATTTATAAGCTTGTGTGTGAAAAACTAACCTCTTAATTCAGTAGTTTTCTGTAAAATATTTTTTAAAAGGCCCGAATTCTGAGAACAAATCAAATCTTTTTCAGTGGCCTCAGTCCTGTTTCCCCACTGGTTCTGTAGGAATTATACAAATGAGTGAAAATGCTATAGTGCTTTTTGAAGGTTTTTTAAACCTAAAAATAATTAACTTCAATGGTTAACGTCGTCATGTCTCAATACGGAATCGTCATAAGTTTCCTAGAATCCCTTTTTTTCTTTATAAACGTTCATGTTCACGTTAACTTGAAGCGACAAGTCTCACAAAGCGACAAGTCTCACTGTCCTTTGCTGCGACCTGCTGGCGAAAACAACAAACTGGGAAGCAAGTTTAAACTCCGAAACGCTAGAGGGCGCCAGCTTCGATAAATTCGTTTCTCAAATTCAAAATCTCGCGTGAGCTCCTCCAAGTTCTCGCATCCACTGGTACGTTCAAAAGGTATAGTGTGAACAGTAAAGTCGAAAAACGGAATATGGTATGTTTGTTTTAAATTTTAAAACTAAAGAAAGACTGTCAAGTGTTTTTACTAAATATAGCATTTCCCACAATATCAATAAGGTTTAAATTACCCTGGTGGAAGTCACGCAAGCAGCAAACCGACGGTGTTGTTTTGAATTTAACTTTTACCAAATGTGGTTTTAAATTCAGATTTTTTTTAACAAGACGTGAAAAAACTTTGCTTAACCAGAATTTCACATCAGATTAGCTTTTCTGGTTTCAGTAAATCCTATTTTTTGATTGGGTAGATGCCGTGTGTCACTTCTAGAAAGTACATTTTCCAGACTCTAAATTAAATTTGTCTTACAGCTTAAAAATAATAATAATAATAAATTATCATTGTGATATCATAATTCAGCATAAGTTGTTGATAGATTAGAAGTAAAAATAATGCTTATTTGTATTTCCTGAATTTCTTACTAAAAGTAAATAAGACGTACATATTTACAGAGTTTTTCAATAAATATTAATATCCCAGCCCTTCAACTTTTGCAGCCGTTTCAGCTGGATGTGTTTTGGTGTATGTCGTACCAGGAAGTTGATAAAAATACTACTCTTTGGAAAAGTTTTAGAAAATTCATGTATAGTTTTTGTTTTGTTCACTTCAAAGCAATGCACTGCTGTGCTGGTCTGTTACATATAATCCCAATAAATAGTTTTAAGTTTGAGTTTGTGATGTGACAGAATGTGAAAAAGTTCTAGATTTACTTCTTCACAATATTTGGAAAGTAAATGTAAAGTTTAATTTTTAATTAGTTACTGTTAATGCACAGAAGTAAACTTGAATCTTAGGAAAATTAAAATTTCTTAAGGACCTGAACAGAAAGGATAAGTAAACATTAAAATAAACAAGTCACTTTATTATAGCTTACTTATTTACATTACTGTTTTTTTAAATTGTTTTACCATTTATAACCAAAGAAATGCCATAACATGGATCTCTGGTCCCTTTCAGGAAAAAATGGCTTCAGTTTCTGGTATAAGGACCCTTATTCGTATCCATCATTCGCTCATTCTGCAGAAGAGCTTTAGGCATTCACTGCTACAGCTAGCATCAACCTGCATCACCTCGAGGCATTGCAGTGGCAGTAATGACCCATCGTTGCCATCAGACACAGAGAATAAATCTCTGCTGGAGAACCTATCTGTGTTGGGAGTGGACATAAAAATGGCACGCCAGCGTCAACCAGGTGTTCTTCGAAAGTCCTTCACAAACGAGATATGCCTCGCTCAATTCCTGCAAGAAAAAGGCGCCAGCCGCAAAGTTATTGCCAGCATCGTGTCCCGTTATCCCCGCGCCATCACGCGGTCACTTGATCACTTGGAGGAACGCTGGCAGCTGTGGAGAAACGTTTTCAACACAGACGCTGAGATCGTGAGCATCCTGGACCGCTCACCCGAGTCTTTTTTCCGTTCTAGTGACAACGATGACTTGAAGAAGAACATCGCTTTCTTGATCTCATTGGGATTAAACTCCAAGGACCTTCGTCGGCTACTGACCACAGCGCCGAGGACGTTCTCCAACACCCTGGAGCTGAACAAACAGATGGTGGAGTTTCTTGAAGACATCTGTCTGGAGCTGGGTGGAAAAAATCCTGAACAATTTGCTACAAGTATAATATCTAAAAACGTGTATCTTCTAATCAAAAGTACTAAGAGAGTCGGGACCAACATTAACAATCTGAAAACCTCTCTGACGTTAAGTGATGCCGAACTGCTAGCACTTCTGCAGGGAAAAGGAGTAGACATTTTGGTCCTTTCCAACGACTGTCTGAAGAAAAACATCCACAGCCTTGAGAAGAAGATGTCCGTGCTAGGCCTCAAAGAAAGCGACGTGAAAAATCTAGTATTAAACTACCCCAACATTCTATACATCGGCGCAGACACTCTGAACTCCAAGCTGGACTGTCTTCTAAAAGGAGGAATAACAATAAAGCAGATTTTGGAGAAGCCAAAAGTCCTGGACTACAGCATCCAGAACATCACAGAGCGACTGAAGGAGCTGCAGAGAGTTGGATATGACTTTGAGAAAAATGGGATCAACATCCTGGACTCCAGCAAGAAACGATTTGTAGCAAAGATAGAAAAACTTTCTGGAGTTTCTGAGGAGTGAATGCAGCAGATTTTACTGTGATAAAATATAAAAGATACCCATCCATGTACAGCTACATTTATCTGCACCCCTAGTAAAGATATGTAAAAAGTCTTGTGTATAGTAGGATAATTTTACACATACAAAAAAAATAAAAATTCAGTCTCTAATATCAGTCCATTAAATTTTGGGATAAAGAAAATGTTAAGAAATAATTATTTTAACAGCTCCTTTAAATGTAAAAGTAATCATAGCAATGTCTGTATTTTTATAAGTTGATCAAATATTTTAAAGATGATGGTGAAAGACCTAGAATCAAATTCAAGGCTAATTTTTAGCACAGCAAAAAGTGACCAAGATGTTTTAATTGTTTTTTTGTAATTGGGTTTTATAATAACCACCCAGGATCCAAAATAACGAAGAAATGTTTCACCATACACAGAATGCACCTTTATCCAAAGTCGTCTCAGTCCCCAAATCTAAATCCTAAACAAACAAACAAAAAACTACCTGGGATGCTCCTAAATGTGGGGTTCTAAGCATTTTATCTGTTATCCAGTGACACATTTCTTTATTTGATGCATTTTATTGCATTATTGCTCTGTATTCAATAGGGTTTTAATGATTATTCTGAAACATTACATCCATAATTTAACGTGTGAGTCATTCTTTGCCTCTTTAACAGTCATTTCTGATTGTAAAAGGGAGGTTGCCATGTTTGACAGGTCAACGCTCCCTCAAAGATTCAGTTAATTCCAACACACCACTGTTGTAATGATCTGTACACACATAAGAATCTCTCACAAGTGGATATTTTTGACTTTGCCCAAAGAAACGTATAATTTCTGTAGCTTTATTTAAATCGTTTCAGGTGCCTTTTGCTGTTGACTCACAAACAAAATAAAGTAATTCTTAACAATTGATCATGTTTTTAGCATGTTACTGCTTATTATGAATAATTATTTCTGTATTAGCAAAAACAGACATGCACTTTGTATGCTAACTTTTTTTCATTTCTGTTCGAAATTTATTTATAAAAATATTTTTCAAAATAGATCGTTTGTCGGAGATCTCCATGCGGAACCAATCTTTAGACGTTCTCTCCGGGAATAATTAAACTGATGCACATCGGTTACCACAAGGTGGTGAAATTTAACTGCACGGTTTGCATGTTAGAAAGTGAATTAATATAGTCAATGTTATCTGGACCGATTTTCTTTGCAGTTGTAGCTCCTAACGAGACAGGTTAAGCTTTTTATTGAACATTAAGTTAACTGCTAGCTTGCGGGAAAACGCGCTTTAATTTGTTAGCTTGCTAGCAGAGTTTTGAGTTAACTACTGCTGGAGCAGTTTATGTTACTGTAACTATTTTGACAACTTGATAAAGAAACAGGTAAGTGAAAGACTTTGTGGACTGTTATTCTAAATAACTTGACATGTAAAGATGCTTTAGTTTTGACTGCGTTTAAGTGTATCATAACAAAGTGGAGCTTTGCTACTAAAACTAGGAGCAGCTAGGTGCAAGTTAAACGTGTTCTGACTGAAGATAAATAATCAGAATTAAATCTCTAGCATAATTGGTATAGTGGGAATTAGGAAATGGTACGAACACACGCATAAATACGTGAAAAAATGCATTTAAAAGGCTCCTAAGATCTCTTAAATTATTGTGTATCTATATTATAGTAACTGATTAGAAGTTAGCGTTTATTTTTTAAATAGAGAAACTGGAACTGTATTATTTTTGTGCTACAGTCAGAGAAGGTTAAGTTCATCTTAGTAAATGTGATTGACATGGTTCAAGAAATTTCACAAACATTTTAAGTAAAATCCAGCACAACCAAATGCCTTTGAAAGTCATGTAAGTAGTGCCCAACTCTGTGTAATTTAATCTAAAATCCTTCTAAAAATAGAGTGGCATATGAAGCAAATTTCCAATTATTACATCTACAAACCACATATGTTTGGTAGCGTCCTTTTCATGAAACACTCAGTTATATTCTGCTGTTTATCTGTTTATCTTTTATAGAAACATTTCAGAGTAAGAATAGGGAGTGAGTCTTTGACCAAATGATGGAGGCATCAGCGAAAGACGCCACAGAAACGGCAACACATGTAGCTGTAAAAGGTGAAGCTGCTATCAAACAAGAGTAAGTAACTTTCATCAACACTGGACACTAGAGGGAGCGCTGTACTGTAATTATCTCATGGAATCAGCTTCAACATGATAATAGTTCATTGTGGCGTATTCATGCTTCAACTCGGCACTACACACTGCCTTCGTCTGTTGAAGCTAACAGAGCAGAATGTCAGTGAGAGTTTTTACTTTTGTCAAACCCAGTTATTTTTTTTTATCATTGTCTACTTATGCAGAATGGGATAAGTATCTGCACTGTCAGCAGTATTTGGGAATTTTTCAATACGCAGTAGAAGCTCTTGTTGGTTTAGTTTAGGTGGTGACAATTTTTTAATTGTTTATTGTGCTTGTTTTTCTCCTGTAAACTCCACAGCCTGGAGTTTGATTTAAATGTCTTAGAAATCTACATAAATATAGGGGGGAAAATACAGTATTGTGAAACCGATTATGTAACATAATAGGTTATATCATATAAGGAATGAGAAGCATTATATATACACATTCATCACTTTGAATTTGAGGTAAAATGGACAGAGAACTCTGTAAATTTTAAGGCGATATAAAATTTTGATTGGGGAAATATGGAAGAAACCTAATGTTTTTTTTTTATCAGAGTTAAGAAAAACAACCTATAGCCTCATAGAGGCTCATAAAGTGATTTATTTATTGAAGGTTTTCGGCTTGTATTTTGGCATTCTTGACAAATCTTTTTAATGTAGCTTTTGGATCTGTTTTAAAAGTATTTTAAAACATTTTTTAAATTACTTTTTTTTTTTTTTTTTGCAGATTCATCACCACCAAAGATGCATTTCATGGCTTTCTGGATTCAGAATGGCAGGGCTCCAAAGGAGAGAAAGCCTCTGAAAATGAGACGCCACAAGAGAAAAAGGATCCCTCTGTGGACGAACCTGAATGTAAAAAATCCAAACTGGACCATGAAGATGTGAAGAAAACAGAAAAACAGGATAAGAAAAGATTTCGTGGTCAGAATAAGTCGAGGCCACACATAAAACCCACCACTTATGAAGAAAAGCGACTGTGTTTGTCAGTCATTCAGGTAGATTGAACCTCCTCCTTTTTTTAAGATGCAGTATGCAATCCTTTCAGATTCCTGTAAAAATTGATTATTCTCTTGACTTTTTTTAACCATTCCTAGAAAAACGGTGAATGTAAGTTTGGGGACAAATGCATCTTTTACCATGACGTCGCCGAGTACTTGGCCAATAAGCCTGCCGACATCGGGGAACGTTGTTACCTCTACGACACATTTGGAAAGTGTGAATACGGGCTTGCCTGCCGCTTCGCCACAGCGCACACTACAGCTGACTTTAAAACCATGGAGAAGGAAGAGCTGGTCAAAGCTTACGAAGGAAGGACTTTGGTGAAGAACAGCCTGAGTAAAGATCTGCAGTATCGCCTGAGGAAACGTTCTGTCACCTTCAAAAAGTCAGAGGAATACCTGAAAATGCTTTCAGACAACAAAGATAAGAAGGAACAGCAGAGCAATGGTAAGACGCAGAACTGTTTCTGTCCTGCTCTCACAATCTAAGGGAGCGGCTTTAAAGAACACGTTATTATGACTGTCAAACCAATTTTACAAACTAAAACTTATTTTTTGACTCAAATAATTAACACTCATTGCAGCAGCATGTTCCTATTACTGGAAGTTAATAAAACTAACTATTTGCAAAACTGAAAATGTTGCTTCAACTTGACAAATTTAAATGTGATAATTCCTTTCTTTATTTATGCAGGTGATGTTTGTACAGCAGAGGTATCTGCAGAGCCAAAAGAAGAAATTCAGCATGTTTCTACGGAAGAATCGGTACACCCTTGTTCTCTTAACTACATTTGCTGCAGAGTGTCTCAATTATTATGTTTTTAGGGGTGTATAAACTTAAATGTTTGCTCTGTAACTAGCTGCCCACCTGTCCAGATATCCAGCCGCCAGTAAAGACTGTAGGCCCGCTAACTGATGCTGACGTTATCAAACTGCGGCCCTGTGAAAAGAAAAAGGTAAATGTCAGCCAAACTTTACTCCAAAGTTCTTCTTTTAATTAAATAACACTACAGGTTTTCCAGAAGTACTAGCAGAGATATTTTGAAAGTTGGGAGTATTTTTTAAAAGTTTTGTATTAAAAGTTATGTCTATATGTTCAAGGTGGACTTCAAAGACAAGCTCTATCTCGCTCCTCTAACAACTGTAAGTAAAAACAGTACTCATTTAATTTATGTTTAATTTTTTATAATTATAAACTTTAATGTGTTTTTTGGGATTTTATGTGGTGGAGTGCAATTATTCTTGCAATTAAGTCAGAAAGTTTAGCACTTCCTTTACTTTGATACTTTAGCATGAATACAATTCCTATAGTAAGACGTGGTGGTAGTGTCATGATGTGGGATTGTTTCTTCTATGTTTCTTACCATGTTTCTTCTATGGTAAGAGTTAGCTTCTCCTTTTTAGCTTAGATGAAGCTAAAAAGATAGTAATCTTACATGTACAACAACCATAAATAAAAAGCTAGAGCAAAATTGAAGTATAATAATGTGTATTATATAAAATAATAAAATATAATAATGACCTAGTCAAAGTCCAGACGTAAAGCTCATTGAGAATCAGTGGCAAGAAATTAAAAAAAAAATGATTTTTTTGGGCCCTTTCTAACCAACCTAATTATGGATACAGGGAAAAAGTTGTTGCAGTGAAAAGTGGTTCTGCCAAGCATCAACCTGAACATAAATGCACTCCACACTTTTAAGATTCTTAAAAACAATGCACAAATATAGAGTGTTTAGTCTGTCGCATAACATCTAAACAAACATATTTTAAGTGGTTTTAACATGGCTTAGGGTGTATAAATAGCGCTACAGGTGACTGTAAACCCTGACTAAGCCGCCATATTGTTTACATCAAAATTGGTCTTTTTTACGTCTTGTCAGTGTGGGAACTTGCCTTTCCGTCGTGTGTGCAAGCGCTTCGGTGCAGACATCACCTGCGGGGAGATGGCCATGTGCACGAATCTGCTGCAGGGGCATCAGTCAGAATGGGCCCTCCTGAAGAGGCATGAGAGCGAGGATCTGTTTGGTGTTCAGGTGATGCTTTTCCAACTTCGAAGTTCAAGCGCAGGTTTCTGTGACTGGATGTGAAGTGTGAGGTGTTGTTCCAGGTTGAAGGCTGTTTCCCTGACACCATGACGCGGTGTGCGGAGCTCATCAACAACTACACCGACGTTGATTTTGTGGATATCAACTCAGGATGCCCCATTGATCTGGTTTACAAGAAGGTGAGCTCTTATTTAACCGCTCTGTTCTCGTCAGATTAGTTGGGATTTTTCGGTTTGGCGTTAACATTTCTGATTCTGTCACTCTGAAAATTGTGGCCCAGTTTTGTCGAGCCTCATAACAAACACAAATTAAACATCAAGAGCTACTATATTATGGCAGAAACCAGGTCTGGACAATATGACTGAAAAAAACTTTCAATGATTGATTACTGATTAGTTTTTGTTTTAAATATCTGAAATACTACCAAACTGGTGGCTTGACATTTCCTGTTTTGTCCACAGTTGTTACTCCACAAAGTTGTTTTTTATCTGTAGGCAGTTATGAGGCACAGTGGCAAAACCTTAAACTGTTTCTGCGTCAGTTACTCAACAGATTGTTGCTAGGTAACCAAGGAATGAGTGAGTTGCTAGGTAACCAAGGAGTGAGGGAGTCAGTTGATTCCACAATCTTTTCTTTAGAGCTGCTAAGGTCTTTCCTCTGCCTACATCTCCCAAAATGCTGTGTGATTCTGGTGTACATTTTGTATATTCGATATTGGTTATTCTATCAGTCATATTATTTATTGATATTGATCACGTGTCTATAGCGATAATCATTGTTTTGATCTATTGTCCAGGACTAGTAGAAACTATTAAACTCGTTCACAGTGGTTTTTGTTTGTGCTTCAGGGTGGAGGATGTGGCTTGATGACCAGAACCAGAAAATTTGAACAGATAATCAAAGGAATGAATTATGTAAGTACAGAGTATTTATTTATTTATTTATTTATTTATTTATTTTTTTGTTATGTTTGCTGCTAGTTGCCATGAAATAGTGATTTAATATTAACGGCATTAAGAAATTGAACAATTTAATGCAGTTCTTGTTTCTTTCTAAAGGTACTAGATGTCCCTGTAACCGTCAAGATCCGCACTGGTGTTCAGGAGAAGTCCAACATCGCACACAAACTCATCGGAGAAATGAAGAACTGGGGCGTCTCCATGGTTACCGTGAGTCTCGTCTTAAATGACTCGAAATGAATTTGACAATGGCTTGTTTTGAGGAGAAATCTCAAAAGAAGAGAAATTTTACTAAATTCTCATATTAAAAGAATTTCAAAAACTAACAATTGATTAGAAATTTGCAGTTTATTTGTTATTCAATAAAGTTTTAAGCGGTAGCCAATTAAAAATTTTATTTTTATGAATTCCCAAGTGGTTTCGCCTCATCCGTAAAGTCTTATCTTCTCATGCATCATGTTTTCCTTCTCCACCTCTATGTTTATGTTATTTTTATAGACATACTGCACATACCACTCATAATGACGGTGTTGTTTTGCAGCTGCATGGCCGATCGAGGGAGCAGCGCTACACAAAGTTAGCTGACTGGGATTATATCAGCACATGTGCCAAGCTGGCCGACCCTGTTCCACTGTTTGGTGCGTCAGTTTGTCTTTTTATTTCTATGGTGGAGGAATCTGAGTGTTGACATAAAGCCTGTAAAACCTTTTATAGGTCTAAGGATGTGGTTTTTCTGATGTAACTTGTTTTTGTTGGTCCAGGTAATGGAGACATTCTGTCTTATGAAGACGCAGTGAAAGCCAAAGAGACCGGTGTTTCTGGCATCATGATTGCAAGGTTTGAATTGTTTACATACTTTAATGAGAAAGTAATGTGAGCCACTGGATTTACAGTCATGATGAATGAACTAACCCTCTTTCAGTTTTACTGTTTTTACTTGGGAATTACTTAAATCTGTTTTATCGCTTCTATTGGATTTAAAAGGGAAAGTAGTTTAAACTAAGCTAAAACTAAAAAATAATTAATTGTAAATATTCTTAAGTTGTTGTATCATTTTGTTTAATGTTGTATTTGTTTTCTCAGGGGTGCCCTAATCAAGCCTTGGATCTTCACGGAGATAAAGGAGAGCCGACACTGGGACGTCTCGTCCAGCGAGCGGCTGGACATCCTCAGGGATTTCACCAACTTCGGGCTGGAGCACTGGGGCTCCGACACCCGGGGCGTCGAAAAGACCCGAAACTTCCTGCTGGAGTGGCTCTCCTTCATGTGCAGGTCTGCAACATCACCATCATACTTTTAAAAATATTTTTCACCTCCATTGAACTTGTGATATTCATACCTTTTAATATCCTAGTGAAACAATCATGATAAAATTTCCAGTATGTGATGAGAAGTTCTTATTGGTTGGTGTGTATTTAAACGTATCAGTCCTTAAGTATTAACTGCTGTGTTTTTTTTTAAATAGATATATTCCTGTTGGCTTGTTGGAACGAGTTCCTCAAAAGATCAATGAGCGGCCGCCGTATTACATGGGCAGGAACTACTTGGAGTCGCTGATGGCCAGTCAGAATGTTGACGACTGGATCAGGATCAGGTAAGAGCCAGAACATTTAATTAAGTGACATTCTCATTGTTAAATTGTAATAAAAATCTTCTGTATTGTTGTTTCAGTGAAATGCTCCTCGGACCTGTCCCGAAGAATTTCAACTTTTTACCTAAACACAAAGCAAATTCCTACAAGTGATTTTCTTTGAGTGACGCGACTAGAAGAGTCTGTTTGTTTTATTTTATTTTATTTTATTTTTTTGGGTGGTTAAAAAAAAAAAAAACTAGATAATGGAAAAATCTTTTATAAATTCCAGAGACTACTACTAATCTTGTTTAATTTGCTTTGTGAAGCAGAATAAAGGAGTTGCACTTGAGGTGTGGTTGTTTTCTTTTCGATGGCATTTAGAAAGAAAATATTTTACATCAGAACAAAGACACAATAATCCCTGATGATCCGCTTGTACTTCTTTTTACTCATGTGTAACAATTTTGGAAAATGTGCTTTTATTTTTTATTATTATAATGTTTGAAATTTAATTGTAAATACATGCAGCTGTGAATGTTTATTTTTTTTAGTGCATACAGAGGAGTATTCTTTTTGACAAGTTTAGAACATTTTTCGTAAATGTTAGAGCAGATATTATTAGTCACAGGGTTTCTTTTATCTGCTAGATCAGTGTTTCTCAGCCCTGGTCCTCAGCGCCCCCCTGCTCTGCATGTTTTAGATGTGCCTCTATTCCAGAACAGCTGATTCAAATGATTGCATGACCATCAAGACTGCAGAAGCCTGTTAATCACCCAGAGATACAATTTAGGCGTGTGGCAGAAGGGAAGCACCTAAGACATGCAGGACAGGGGGGCGGTGAGGACCAGGGTTGAGAAACGCTGTGCTAGGGGAATTCCGACTCCTGTGAATGAAAGAGCTGCATGTTAAAGGGCATTTTTATTTCTATTTGTGCAGGCCTCTGCCAGCAACCTGCATTAAAGATCAACCAGCAACTCCTGTGGTCTGACTCCCTTCTTCAACTGAACACAACGCAGAACACATCAAGGTTAACCGGTTGTATATGACTAGGTTATCAGTAAAAAACACCGTTTGGATTCAGCCGGTCAGACATTTTACATCCTCCAGCGACCTGCCTCCTGTTTACGTGCGAACTGAAGGTGAAACTATCTTAAACATAGGATGCAGAAATCTGTCAAAGTGAAACTTTCAGTTCGTGGTTGGTGTTTGTCACATGGTCTCGGTCATGTGGGCAGGAAGTCTTTAGTAAAATGTATCGTCTGATTGTAGCAGTAATTGAGTAAAATGCTAGAAATCCCAGCTGTGGACTAACACATGACTCCTTCTTGTGGATCTTACCCAAATATATTTGGTTTGCAAAATCTTTTTCTAAATGTTTAAACTTGGAATAGAAATATTGTTTTTTTTTTGTCCCACTTTGGGAATATTAAGCTAAAGGCAAATGGGAGCATTCATATTCAAATTAATGTAGAAATACGTTTTTTAAATGGAAAAATATGTACAACATAAGAATACTGTGGTTATTAAAAATGGCATACTAGCACAAAAATGTGTAACTGAGTAGATGTCTTTGAAACAGCAACAGATTAAAAATAAAGAGCAGAGAGCAGTTTTGGTTATAAAGTTGGAAGGAAGGATCTTTGACGCTCTTTTGTGCACATAGGATGCAGAAATCTGTTGCTGACTTCTTGTCTGGTTAGATTTGCCTGGCAGAAAACAGGTTTGATGCAGGGCGTGGGTTCTGTTCCCAGCCTGCAGAACCGAGTATCTTCATTTCATTCTGCTTGCCAACCCTCCAGCTGCTGTTACCCACAAAAATGGCTCACCTTCCAGCACTTTTTAAGTATGTGGATGAGCACGATGATCTCTATGTGCAGGTAAGATTTCTTTTTGTTTCACTGTGATTTTCAGCTAATCAGGAAGTTAAATTACTTTTGGCATAAAATCAGTTGAACAAAATTTAGCCTCAGCTCTCTGGTTGCACTTTGAGACTTCAATGTGGATTTTGCTTTCTTTTGGAGGAATAAAATTAAAATTTCCATGATCAGTTAGATGAGACTATATCAGAACATGTTTGAACTTTCTCTGCTCAGCGCCTGGCAGAATGGGTCAGCGTCCAGAGTGTGTCCGTTTGGCCCGAGAAGCGCGGAGAGATCCAGAAGATGATGGAGATGGCAGCGGATGAGATCAAGAGGCTGGGGGGGAAAGTGGAGCTGGTGGACAACGGCACCCAAAAGGTAAAAGAGTTTTTCACTTTTATTTGTTAAAAATCAAACTTTTTAATATCTTATAATTTATAGTTTTGTGATAAAAGATGAGTACTTTGTCTTGTACTTTAGGATACTTTAATTTGTATCTTTTTCGTGAAGCTGTGAACATTTCTCTATATTTTTAACTCCATCAACCTCCAACCTTGAGCTGGAAAAACAGATTTGTATAATTCTTGTATTTATGTTAATTCGTGCAGCTTCCCTCTGGAGAGGAGATCCCTCTGCCTCCCATCCTCCTGGGCAGTTTGGGCTCGGACCCGGCCAAGAAGACGGTGTGTATTTACGGTCACCTGGACGTCCAGCCTGCTCAGGTGAAGGACGGCTGGGACACCGAGCCGTTCACTCTGGTGGAGAAAGACGGTAAGAGCAAAAGCTTCCAGTATCTGCAAAAAGTCAGGCTGAACCACTTTTAGGAGTTGAATAGAGGCAAAGTTGGCACTTTAACAGACTTTTAATGCAACTTTGCATTAAAAGTGTCATTATTTACCGAATGACACTTCATGACAACTGTCATAAACATTCATAAAGACTTCTTCATGTTCATGACAGGTGTTATGTCATGTTTATGACAGTGTCATGTCAGTCTTATTCGCAGCCCTTCAAATAAAGTGTTACCAAACCTCTAAATCTACCAGGAAATGTCCAGCGCATTAATAAAACCTGGAAGGACAGAGGGGGAATCATCATCTTCTCAAAGGAAATGTGGATCTTCAATGATCTTTATTGGCAATCCCTTTAAACTTGAGGCCCGTGGGCCAAATCCGGTCCGCCAAAGCTTTTTATGTGGCCAATAGAGTATAGACTAAAAACAAAATGTGCTTAAATATTATGTTATCAATCAGTCAGTGCAGTTTTTATCTGTTTACTGCCAAATTGTTTCAGTCCCTTCGGCTTCTTGCAAATTATTGTGGAAATTCATGCAAAATCAACAAATCACACTAATAATTGGGAGTTTATTGCAGATTTTTCTCAAAAATTGTCAAAAACTTTCTTAATCGCACTTAACAGCTGCCTCAGCTTTAATTGATGTCAGAATATAGTCTATGATCTATGATCTAGAGAGTTATAAAAAGTTGCATTTACCATCATAAATAAGTGCAAATATTGCTAATATTTCCAAATTAATACGACAAACACTTTGATTTTTATTGCAAAAAATCACAAAAAGAATCACTAAATCCTGGAGGAACTGAAAAGATGTTCAATTATATTTGATTTTAAGAATTCATTGCTATTTTAACAGTTTGTGATCAGGTTTTATCAACACATTCAGGAACAACCGGCCGTTTAAGAGCGTTCATGATCTTGATCTGGCCCAAAACGAAAATGAGTTTGACATCCCTGCTTTAAGCATTTTAAATCAAAACTCACTGCCCTGTGTTGAATAGTGAAATTAAGAGCATTGCAATGCGAAGAGAACTCAACGGACCGGGACGAAACTGTTTCATAGCTGTGAGAAAAGCACAGACAAGTGACGCTAATTGGGGTGAAAGGGTAAAATTTATGAAACAGTATAAGAATTAGACCAATAATTGGTGTGTCGGGATAAGAAGGGAGTCAGATGAAGTGATGCCCCCTTCATGCCTAATGTCTGCAGCGGCAGCTCCATGATCTGGGGTTTCTGCAGTTGGTCAGATCAGAGATCAGGTGACGACCTGGATGTATACCAGATCATTTTATCATCAGATGTGTCCCTTCTTCCCTGAAAGGACAAATTTAATCCAAGATGAGGATGCCAGGATTCACCAGGGTTAAATTGTGCAAGTAGCTTCATTTCCACCAGAGTCCAAATCCAAAGTGAGAAACTTTGTGATTTTGCACGGCAGTCTAACTCTACAAAAATTAATTGAACTCTGGATGGAAATGAATGCAGTGACATTGCAGAAACTTATCGAAACAATGCCACAGCAAGTGCTGACAGTATATGCTTTATATTTGGACTACACCCTGTTTAATACAAAAGAGGGAGTGACAGGTGAAGCAAGCTCTTCCACTGCTGCTTCAGCAGAGCAGGTTTGATTTAAACTTTGTCCCTCAAAGATGCTTATTCTCAGTTTGACACATTTTGATGTAGGATGAAAAGAAAAATTGAGAAAACATCTGTTCTCCAGATGGCAGCACTAAGGAACATGGATAATTTTTGCAAAGGGTCTCTGGTAAATGATTTGTTTAAAAAAAAAAAAAACAATTAACAACAGACTGGTTAAATTGAGTTTTATCTTTGTAGGTAAGCTGTACGGAAGAGGATCCACTGATGATAAGGGTCCGGTTCTGGCCTGGTTCAACTGCATCGAGGCCCATCAAAAGATCGGGACGGTAATCTCACCGCTGCCGTTTTAGGGAATCTGTTAATGTTGGTGCTAAAACGTGTTTGTAGTTTTAATCTGGCATTTTCCCCCTCAGAAAAAATTAAACAAAACCATAATATAAAGAACTTTGAGGGTGCCATGTTGTCTGGTTCGTCCAAATCTGTGGTGAAATGGTTTCTGCATTCAGTGGGTATAACCCCAGAAATTGAGCTTTATTATTATTATTACAGTATATGTTTGTCTTCTTTTTGCAGGATCTTCCCATCAACATCAAGTTCTGCTTTGAAGGAATGGAGGAGTCGGATTCTGAGGGTCTGGACGATCTGGTGTTTTCCCGAAAAGATTCGTTCTTCAAAGACGTGGATTATGTCTGCATCTCTGACAACTACTGGCTGGGAAAGACCAAACCGTGCATCACCTACGGCCTCAGAGGAATCTGCGGCTTTTTCATCGAGGTAAAGTCTCTGTTATTTAAAGAGGTGGTTATTTTGGGGGTAAATCCTAATGATACTTTTATATCTTGATATGAAGGTCGAGTGCAGCAGGACAGACCTTCACTCCGGCGTCTTTGGCGGCTCGGTTCATGAGGCCATGACTGATCTCATTTCACTCATGGGTAAATAGAGATGATCTAAGGACTGATCTTTTGTCTGTAAAATTTCACTGTGTATTTTCTTCCTTCACAGGCTGTCTCATCGACAGGAAGGGAAAGATTTTGATTCCTGGGATGTACGACAGCGTCGCTCCTCTGACAGAAGAGGAGAAAAAACTATATGATAAGATCGATTTTGACGTGGTTGAGTACTGCCAAGATGTGGGAGCTGGAAAGCTGCTGCATGAAACTAAGGTAAATAAATCTCCTTTACTTACTGAATATATAAGAACCACTGGGACTTTGCTGATGTTTTGCATCGTAGGAACAAATCCTGATGCATCGCTGGAGGTATCCGTGTCTTTCTCTGCACGGAATCGAAGGAGCGTTTTCCGAAACTGGATTCAAGACTGTTATTCCCCACAAGGTCATTGGCAAATTCTCCATCCGCCTTGTCCCTGACATGGACCCCAAAGTCGTGGAAAACCAGGTAGACTGAATTACTTTCAACTGGACATGAAAGCGGTGTTTTGAAAAATGAAAATGTCTTTAAATGGTCTTTAGAATGCTGACTTAGGCTATGTTCGCACTGCAGCCTGATGTAACCCAATTCAGATTTTTTGTCAAATCTTATTTTTTTTTTTTTTTTGTCGTGGTCGTTCACACTGCCAAATATATGTGACTTGTACGTGTTCTCTTGTGTGAACAGCAAACAACCTGAAAGTGTCCCGCATGCGCAGTAGAGAGCGCCATAGCGTCAGCGTTCTCAGTGTTTTGCCAACCGCGATAAAGAAGTAGTGCTCAGTGTTTGCGGAAGTAAACATGGATGCTAACGGTGGACCTTAGCTTACGATTTTGACGTTGTTGTGCGACAGGAGGCAGCACTTTAACAACTTAATCCTCATTACACTCCGTCATGGTTGTTGTTGTTTTTCTTCACGCTTGCGCGTATCAGGACGCAGATTAGTGACGTTTGTCGAGTATCAATGACGTTCAATATCTGGCCGTTGGGATTCAGGTCACATTTGAAAAGATCGGATACGTATCGGATATCCAAGCAGCTTGGGTCGTATTCGGGGAAAAAAAAAATCCGACCTGTGTTGTTCAGACTGTAATAAAAAGATCAGATACAGGTCGCATTACGTCAGAAAAATATCGGAATTGGGTCCGATTACGATTAAGGCTACGTCAACCGCATATGCTGGTGCTAGTTTTTAATCACTGGTTGCTCATCATCTGCATCAGACTGCAATTCGGCCGTTACATGGATAACATAAACCTAAAGCTTCAGTTTACTAGTTTTCATTTATCTATTTCCAGAGTTCATAAATAGCAAATGCGTTGTTCTTTTAAACTCTTTCACTCTTCTATTATTGTTCAGGTGATCGAGCATGTGCAGAAGAAATTTGCTGAATTGGGAAGTCCTAATAAAATGAAGGTGTACAGTTTTGGTGAAGGGGCCAAAGCCTGGGTGTCTGACTTTAACCATCCACACTACATGGCTGGTCGACGAGCAATGAAGACAGGTAAATAAAAACTCTGCTTAAAAACGCACATTTGTACCAAATAGTGTTAATAAGGTTTTGTGCGTCAAAGACAAAATAATTTGTGGATTAAAATATACACAGAAAATAAATAAATAAATAAATGCATCTACATATCAGAATATAGATACATTTTAATAATTTTAAATGTAAAAAACAGCTAATTGAGCATCTTCTCCCATTATTTCATCCTGCTTTTTTTTTTATTTTTTTTTTTTACCTTATTTGTTTAATTTAAGTTTTTGGCGTTGAGCCGGACCTGACCCGTGAGGGCGGCAGCATTCCCATCACTCTGACCTTCCAAGAGGCAACGGGTCGGAACGTCATGCTGCTTCCTATCGGATCCTCCGATGATGGCGCTCACTCACAAAATGAAAAGATCAACAGGTTTGAGGTTTTATAGTTTTTCTAAATACATAAGGAAACATGGAAAAGATCAAATAAAATTAGCAGCTATGTTTTTTTTTCTTCTTTCAAATAAAATCTTGTTCTTTATCCAAATTCTCCAGATCAAACTACATTCAAGGAATCAAGATGCTGGCTGCTTACTTCCATGAAGTTTCAAAACTGGGTTGAACTCATAAAGTCTTGAATAACATCTGTGCTCACTTTCAGAACCTGAACCCTTTCAGTACAATTTTTACCTTTCAATTAAAAGCGTTTCTGGAGACGTCTGACAATAAACTGGCTTTCACATTAATCGCTTTTGGACACTGGTGATATTTTTCCTTCTTATGGTGTTTTCATGTTTAATTAGTGTTAGAGATTTGCTGTTGACAAAAAGGATACCATATTCTACTTCATGATGATTTACTTCTGCAAGTTGCAGCAGAAATATGACGCTGAAACATATCAGTCTAAATGAGACGATATTGCTTTAATTTACTAACATATAAGCAAGCATACATTTTAATGACTTTACTGTTTTTGAATAATTGGTCTACAGCAGTCATAATCTGTAATAATTGTTCTTTTTAATTGAAGGAGCAGGCATACACCTGTTGTTTGCATGCTGCTGTACATTTTTATTTTACATTTTTGTCTGTCAGTAGCAAACGGGAAGCGTCTATCACGTGAAGAGAGTCACAGGCAGACATCAGCATAAATGACTGACATCAGCTGAACTGGAACCAGCGGAAATCACAGGATCAAGAATCCCCACGCGATGAGAATACAGAACGCTCGTAAACTGCGCCGCCATATTGCGAGTGGCTTTTGTACACAAATTTGCGCAATAATCGTCTTTTGCTTTACGCTGTGTATCTTGTTTGATTAATAAATGAAAAATATACAAAACCGCAATCGACTTGAGGTGTGTATAAAAGTTATTGTAAGTTTATTTCTGGTTTAAAAATGACAATATTTGATTTTATTCACATACTTTTTTTTTTACTTTTTCATAACCAATGGAAAAGCCTTTGTCATTGCTTTGGTACTTTCTTTTTGTTTAGGAATATAATATTTTGTGTTTCTTACTTTGTTTTTATATTTTTATTTTGTGTGAATTTACCTCCTCTTGTCACTTTGCTGCTTGTATGTCTGCACATCACCACTAAAGGACAATAAAGGTTATATTACATATTATTGATACTGCAAATTTAGGCATACATTTACAAGCACATTAATTCTGTCACTGAAATAAGTTTTGACAAAATATTTTAAGTTTTATTAGTTATTTCATATTCTTAATACATTTAATTATGTTTAGTTATGTCCATTTTCAGTGGTTCAACTACAACAAATGTAAATTCATTTTTAAACAGTTTTGTAATTGTTGCAGATATTAGTTTTTGTCTCAGTGGTAAGTAACACTGATCATAAAATCAACATGTATTAGATAATTCATAAAAGGGTCTGTTGATCCAGGGGAAAAAAACTTTCCAACCATGCTGTCGCCGCTTTTGAAAACGAAGGTGCCACTCACAATATGGCGGACTCGCTTACGTATAGTTTCTACGGAACAGCGAAAACAGCGCTGGAGCTACTCTTCTATGTAGAAACCGGATCATTTGCAAAAGAACAGCGTTTGGCTTGCACAGGTAATATTGACAAGCTCTTTTAAAGCTGATATGTTGCCAGGAATCGCATCTTCTCAGTCAAAGCTAAAATATTAGCTAGTTAGGAAATAAAAGAGCTCTCAGCCTGCTAACTCCCGTTCTGTTAGCCTTCTAACAGGCTCGGTCATTGCTTGAAAATATTTAAGTTGGTATCAGTTTCAGATTGATTTCCTTAAACACTTGAGTTCAAGTTATGTGTTTTACTAAAGGCTCTTTAGCCTAAATATGTGTTACTTTATTTATGTAGCTCTGTACCAACTTAGGAGCTCGCTGTTATGAATTGTTTTCAGTGGTGGAGGAGAACAGCTTTAAATATGTGTTGCTTTGTAATATTGTTTATACATTTTGAACTTTAGCACCTTTAGTCATGTTGCAACCACAAATTTATTTTACTAAGAAATTATGTATTATGCACTTAAAATTTGGAAGAAAAAGCTTTTAAGGTAGATTTTTCACTAGATTTATGTCTGAGCTTTGACTGGAGGACCATTGTCATTCTAACTGGAATGACATGGTCCAGTTAGAACATGGTCCAGCTGGTGGTTCAACCAGAGCTGAGTGGTTCAACCTGAGCTACAACTGGTTGAAACACTCAGTTATAGCTCTGGTTGCATGTTTAGGCAGTTTTGAACCTCTGCCCTAGTCTGCAGGCTTTTGACAGATATTCTTCCAGATTGCTCTGTGTTTCTAGCTCCAGCTTCACTGACCATGCTTAAGAACAGCATCCCCACAGCATGACGCTCCCACCACCATGTTTCATTGTGGGAGTAGCTTGTTCTGATTTATTTGTGGGGTTAGTTTTCTCACAAGTAGGCCAGAAAGTTGACTTTTCATCAGTGGTGGGAAGTAACGAAGTACAAGTACTTCGTTACTGTACTTAAGTACAGT